TGAGTGCCGTGGCATCAGCCTGGCTCACAGCAACCTCAAACTCCTGGGCTCAAAGCAATCCTCCTGCCTCAGCCTCCCAAGTAGCTGGGACTACAGGCATGCGCCACCATGCCCGGCTAATTTTTTCTATATATTTTTAGTTGGTCAATTAATTTCTTTCTATTTTTAGTAGAGATGGGGTCTTACTCTTGCTCAGGCTGGTTTTGAACTCCTGACCTTGAATGATCCTCCCGCCTTGGCCTCCCAGAGTGCTCGGATTACAGTCGTGAGTCACGGCACCCGACCCTCCTTTTTTTCAAGAGATAGGTTCTTGCTCTGTTGCTTGAGCTAGAGTGCAGTGGCATGATCATAGCTCACTGCAGCCTCAAACTTCTGGGTTCACGCGATCATTCTGCCTCAGCCTCCCGAGTGGCTGGGACAGCAGGCACACACGATCACATGCAGCTAAATTTTTCTATGTTTTGTAGAGATGGGGTCTCACTCTTGCTCAGGCTGGTCTGGAACTCCTGGCCTCAAGCAATCCTCCTGCCTTTGTGCATGGCCTGATTTCTCTTTTTATTGGGCCTCAATTTCCCAAAGTAGGATTATCCCAATTAAATTAAATAACAACATAAAGTTTCTGTCAGCAAATGCATAATAAATGTTAGTTTCTGTACTTACCCCCAAATAGAAGGTGAGCATAAACTGCCTTATGTTTGTGGCTGATTTAAATGCTGAAATTACGGCAAAGATGGAGCCTGTAAGAAGCAATTGGGGAGAAGTTTAGACTTTAGAGAATTCGGGGAAACAGAGCAGGGCTCACCTGGGAAGGAGCCACGGGTCAGACCAAGGCTAGACATAAATGTTGCAAATTGAAACTGGGTTCAAGGTGAGTATCATAGGGTCTAGAGGAATATGTACTTTGCCTGAGGATGGAGATGAGAAATAAGAAGTATATAGAACTAGGCCCTCAGATGGGCACCTCGTGTGCTAGGTGTGATTCTTCCTATGGACATGAGTGTCTTGGGTAGGCTTGGAAAAGTCTGGACACTTGGGATTCCAGGCAGAGGGGTCCCCACCCACCTGGCTGCCTTTCATTATTTAGAGGAAGTGCTGACTTCAGGGACCTTGGAAGTGCCACACTTCTCGGGTAGGACAGGACAGGCTCAGGGTAAAAATGACAAATTCTACATTTCCCAGTGACCTGCAGAGGTGCTGTAGGCTTGGCTACAAGTTCAGGGTATCTAGACTGGAACTAAAGGGAAAGCAAAGATTCTTAATTCCTTCTAACAATTGTAAAATGTCTCTGAGCCAGAGGGCAGAACCTGTCCAACAGTGGGGTGTTTCAGCATTGCCATTTTCAGCTCAATATCAAGAGCACTAATGGAAATGGCTGTCTAGACAATGAAAGGAAGTGCCTTATGAGGTAGTGAGGCTCACATGCATCTGGGCAAGCTATGGCGGTGGTGGGTTGGGGGTGGGGATTTTGCTTTGGGCTGGAGAAGATTACCTTTAGAAGGCCTTCCCCACTGTAGGAGTCTTTTCAAGTCTTCCCTTCCATGGGGAGGTGGAGTCTTAGCCCAGCTGCTGAGGGTTCTGGGTGGTGGGGGCTGTTGGAAGCAGTCGTCTGAAACCATAGTGCAGAATCCAAAAGCGAGCAGAGAGCTGAAGTCGGCCTTATCAAGGAGCACTAGAAACATGCTAAAAGCTAGGGTCACTGATCGCAGAAAGCAAGGAGAGGACCTGCCTGGGAAAATGGCTGGAAGACAACTGCCCCTGACATTTCCAGGAGGGGAGGTACCTGGGAAGCCTGGCCAAGTTTCAAGGGCTCAGCTAGTGGCTGACAGTCATTGATTCTGTGATTTTTCTTGTGAGGTTCCACTGCTAGATCTGAAGGCAATCTAGAGAGTTGCAGAAATGTTTTATACATAGGCAACAGTATCTGAATAAGTGACTTTTTTTTTTTTTTTTTTTGAGACAGAGTCTCCCTTTGTTGCCCAGGCTAGAGTGAGTGCATCAGCCTAGCTTACAGCAACCTCAAACTCCTGGGCTCAAGCAGTCCTACTGCCTCAGCCTCCCGAGTAGCTGGGACTACAGGCATGCGCCACCATGCCCGGCTAATTTTTTCTATATATATTAGTTGGCCAATTAATTTCTTTCTATTTATAGAAATATTATTTATAGTAGAGACAGGGTCTTGCTCCTGCTCAGGCTGGTTTCAAACTCCTGACCTCGAGCAATCCCTCGAGCAATCCGCCCGCCTTGGCCTCCCAGAGTGCTAGGATTACAGGCCTGAGCCACCACACCTGGCTGAATAAGTGACTTTTAAAGATTAATTCTTAGAGAATAACTTTTAACTAGATGTTTACATTTTCAAGAAATCATCAATTTCATTAAGATCATTTTGCATTTCTGTTTACCAGTGACAAACAATTAAAAAAAATAGTGGCAACAGATAATATTTAATATTTGGGAAATCAAAGAGAACTATTAAAAGAAACTTTTAAATTCATAATAGGGAAAAACAGAACAAGACTTGAATAAATAGATATTTTCTGTTCCAGAATCAGAAGATTTAATGAAGTTAAGATGACATACTTAATATTCAGTCTAATTTATGGAATTAACAGAATTTAGATTCCCAATATATTATTTTATGGAAATTGACAAAACCCTAATAACATTTCTATAAAGAAAATAAGTTAAGCACACTAAAGGGTTGTTTTTTTTTAAAAAAGAGTAAGTCAATGATATGATAAATTACTCTGTTTATATATAGAATATGATGCAAAGGACATTTAACTTCTATGATATTGGATTCAAAGCAGAACAGTAGATTTAAAAACACAGTAGGGATTCCAATAGTTCTAAACTTGGTAAAAAGTTAGTATATATGGCCGGGCGCGGTGGCTCACGCCTGTAATCCTAGCTCTCTGGGAGGCCGAGGCGGGCGGATTGCTCAAGGTCAGGAGTTCAAAACCAGCCTGAGCAAGAGCGAGACCCCGTCTCTACTATAAATAGAAAGAAATTAATTGGCCAACTGATATATATATAAAAAAAAAAAAATTAGCCGGGCATGGTGGCACATGCCTGTAGTCCCAGCTACTCGGGAGGCTGAGGCAGAAGGATCGCTTGAGCCCAGGAGTTTGAGGTTGCTGTGAGCTAGGCTGACACCACGGCACTCACTCTAGCCTGGACAACAAAGTGAGACTCTGTCTCAAAAAAAAAAAAAAGTTAGTATATAATAGTATAGGATGATAAAATAAGAAAGGGATTATATTTAATACTTGTTATATGGGAGGATATAAAACACTTATGTCCTCCTCTGACACCATTTGTCATAATGAGCTCCAGATGTTTTAAAGAATTAATGTTGAAAATATCACTTTTAAAAGTGAAACAAAATGGTATATTATAGTTATCCAGCTGTGGTAGATGAATTAACTTTGCAGGTATTAAAGCAGTAGGCTAAATTGTGAATGGCAAAGTGGGAGGACCTGATCATATAAAAATTTAGCAGTAACAATCTTAATCAATTCTTAATAAAAAGGAAGAAAATGCAAATCTCCTTTAAATAAACAAAGCTGATAAAAATTAATATTAAAAATATAATCACAAAGCTGTAGGTTAGTACCCATTCTCTACTAGATAAACACGTAAAGGATATGAACAAATAGTATGTATGAGAAGAAATGTAAGCATGAAGCCAACATTTGGTAATATTTTCAGTCTTGCTAATAATAAAAGTGTGAATGAATGAAAGCATAAGTCTATTTCATACCTTTTGAAGTAGCAAAGCAACAAAACTCTATGTTAAAGTGCTTGTGGGGAAATAGACACACTCCCAGGTTGCTGGTATGTTTTCTGGAGTGCAGTAGATCAAAATGAAATGCAAGTTCTCAGGAAAATTATTCTGTTCTTTGTGGCAATACTCCCAAAGGAGTAACTCTTAGGAAAATGAATAATCTAAAAAAAAAAGGTTATTTGTACAAAGATAATTGTAGCCACACTATTTAAATAGTTAAATTCTAGCCATTACCAACAGCCTGACAACTTGATCATTGTAGTGCAAACTAGAGCATGTTAACATGTCATCATATTAATAACTACTAAAGCCATAAATCTGAGGACTTTGACAATATCATATGTAGCATATATAAGTTAAAAAGAGGAATGAGTTTTTTATGCGGCTGTTGATAACTGTCAGATTATATTTGTCTAATGAGAGTGTCAGTGATCTTAGGGTTTCTCAATGATCTAAATCAAAGCTTCTTAGACTTTAATGTGATTAAATCAAGTGTTCAGTCACCACATGTGGCTTACATATTGGTAAACTCTGATTATTCAAAAATTCCATCATCACAGCAAGTTCTATTGGACAGTGTTGAACTAAACCATTAATGTCTCAAAGTGAAGGGGATTTTTCATCTTTTTCTGTACAGTTATGTGAGCTATACAATTCAAAGTTTGCTCCATTCCTTTATAGTCATAAATGATTTATATATATATGTACATTGGTGTATAAGACTGAGATATAGCAATAAATAATTTTATATAATGAAAATATTAGATAAGTGGAATTCTGTCTGGTTGACTTCATTGTCAGTCCATGGGTGTGTTATAATTATTCATTCTTTGTTTCTCAATAGACAAATCATTTTTAATAGATTGGCTTCAGTTTCTTTGCCAAATTTTTCCTCTTCTGACCTTTCTGAGCTATATACAAATTATAACTTAATGTATATTAGGGGAGATACTGTTTAAAGAAGTATTACAATAATTTAAACTCAGTTATATGTATATATGTGTATACTTTGTGAAGAAAATTTGCCACAAAACACCCTCACCTAGCTGTTTCATAAATTTATTTGATTAAAGTATATTCTCTAAGCAGAACTGATTTGTGTTAGTTACCAGAGGATGTGGGCATCATTCTTTATTGACTGACAGTTTTATGGATGATTTCTTTTTCTTTACTTCTGTGAAGTGGAAACACTGACAATTGTCATGTTTTCTTCCAGGAATTTATGCAAATATTCTCATGAGGTTCTCTCAGCAGAGAACTTCAAAATCCTAAAAATGCATGAGCTCTCTGGACTTAATCAAGAGGAATTAGCAGTGCTCCTCGTCCAAAGTGATCCTTTTTTTATGCCTGAGGTAAGTTATGATTTCTCAGCTTAAGAAGCAGTGAGAAAATATTATTGGCAGTGTTGTGTCATTGGACATATTGGAATAGGAGCAGAAAAATCTCAAAGTTAGCATCAGGGCTTTGTAGGTGGCAGTCAGGGCTGTTGCTGAGTGACCTAAGAGAGCCCAGCAATTTCTCTCCTATTTGAGGTCTCATAATAATTTGAGTCTGGAAAGTTTCCTCCACCAGGCTGCTGTGGAGCCCTGTGTGAGCAAGTATGAGCTGAAGAGGTAATAGCAGTAGGACAGCTTGATGCTTTACATCAGGGTGGCTTCTTGGAAGAGGTGAGCTTTGGAAGGTGACAGGGAAGACGATGGTACAGGCTAAGCTGCTGTAACAGAGACCCCCCCCCAAAACAGTGATTCAAATAAAATATAATTTTATTTCTCCATCACTTGATAGTCTAATTCAGGGGTCGGCAATCTATAGAGGTCCGAGGAGCTGGTTTCTGGAGTTGGCATTAGTTAGTATTGTTGGCATAAGTTTCTACCAAAGAATGCTGGGCAAGAAAAGTCCCTAAAGGAGTGTTTCAACTTGGGGAGTAGGACGGGATTTTTTTCATGAGGCTTTAGCAGGAGGGGGTCAGCCAGAGTTCAGCTAGTTTTAAGAACAGTTGGTCAGGGATGGCTCTCCACAGAAGGAGGAATTATCCCTGCAGATTAGGTTGTTTGGGTAATTTGGACTTTATCAAAAGGGGTGAGGAGGGAGGGAGGGGCTAAGTTAAGTGCAGAGGGGCATGTAGAGAAACAGCTGCAGGGGAGCGGTGGACAGGGACCTGAAGGCCACAGTGGAATGTTCTCAGTCACTTCGTTGGTTGCTTTGCATTCGTTCAGCTAAGATTTAGGAGTATCTGCAAACGTTAGGCACTGTGTTAAATACCAGAGGAAGCAGCGAGCAGCACTCTCTGCCCTAAAACACTTAATATATTCACACTTTTTCACTTTGCTTTGACCTATGACAACATAAAAACATCAGGCAAACCTGACTTCCTGGTATATTAACTTGTAAAGTTGCAATGTACTTATTAAAGGAAAAAGTGCTTTTCATTTGTTCTGGCCCAATGAAGGCAGGAACATTCTTGCTTAAACATGGGTATAGTAATAGGAATGTTACCTAAGCGTAATTTATGAAGTTGCCAATTGTTCTTTTTTGCTACAGCCTCTAGGAGGTACTTCAGAATCACCTGGAGGGTTTGTTAAAATACAGGTTGTTGGGCCCCACCTCTGTTGCTTCCGACTCTAGATACCGGAAAGGGCCTGAGGAGTTGCGTTTCTGAGTTTCCAGGTGGTGTCGAAGATGGTTGGTCTAGAATCTGGACAGTAGACTCTATAGCCATTACGAGTATCTACTTGAATCGGGTTTTAGAAGTTGTCTTTGTAGCTAAATCATTGTTACTCAAGTCTGAGTCCATAGTTTTGCCATCTAGACAAATCACCGTGAACCGTGTTGATCTGGTTTTCTCAGAATCCATTGAAACAGCTTATAAATGTTTTAATCCTTAAAATCTGAAATGCAGGTTTCTTACTAATTATATTGATTTCCTCATTTCATGGTTCAGATATTTGCATCACACTTTATATTTTGTACAACACATTCACGTATTTTGTTATTTAGTCTGCTGAACAACTTTTTTTTTTCTTTTGAGACAGAGTCTCACTTTGTTGCCCAGGCTAGAGTGAGTGCCGTGGCGTCAGCCTAGCTCACAGCAACCTCAAACTCCTGGGCTTAAGCAATCCTGCTGCCTCAGCCTCCCGAGTAGCTGGGACTACAGGCACGTGCCACCATGCCCGGCTAATTTTTATATATATATTGGCCAATTAATTTCTTTCTATTTTTTATAGTAGAGATGGGGTTTTGCTCAGGCTGGTTTTGAACTCCTGACCTTGAGCAATCCGCCCGCCTCGGCCTCCCAGAGTGCTAGGATTACAAGCGTGAGCAATCGCTCCTGGCCTGAACAACTTTGTTTAGGTAGACAGAGCAAATATTTTCCTCCTGTTACAGCAAAAGAAAAAGAGGCAGAGAGTAGGTAAGTGGGTCCCCTGAGGTCACACAGCTGCTTTCAGACTCTCAGACTGTAAAACCAGCATCTTCTAGTCCTGCCTCATATGGCCTGACCTCGGTCACAGTATTCCTTCTGCCCTCTTTTCGCTAGGAACTACATATATGTAGAGCTAGATATATAGATATATCTATTTAGATAGAAATATAAAAATCATCATCTTTTGTTCATCTTTTGAGAAACTGCCTAGCAGAGTCTAAATTCTGGATTCCCAAACAGTTGAAGGTCAGACCCACGTGTTCTTGTAATTCCTAAGTGAGTCGATATCCAAAGATGAACCTTCCTTTTTTGAGCTCCTTTGTAATGTAGGGCTCATTTTAGGTCCTGTTCGTAGATAGCCATCTTATTTTGATTCTTCCAAGAGTTATAAAATTCTTCAGTATCTTCTAGTCAGTCTGCAGGCCTCTTCTGCCTCAAATAAATCACCAATTGAAAACAACTCATCAGAGATTATAGGATATATGTGTATTTTTTTTTTCCTTTGGTGTATCTCTGCTTGCTTCAGAAATTTTTGTGCACTTGAGCTTGCCTTAATGAGTGTTTGACAGGAATAAAAAGTGTTTTGTCTTTGGCTATCGTTTCTCCCTCCCACAGATATGCAAAAGTTATAAGGGAGAGGGTCGCAGGCAGATTTGTAACCAGCAGCCTGGGTGTGACAGACTCCACATCTGTGACCACTTCACCCGAGGTAACTGTGGTTACCTCAATTGTCTCAAGTCCCACAACCTGATGGACAGAAAGGTGCTGGGGATCATGAGAAACCACGGGCTGAACGCAGACGTGGTCCAGAGCATCCAAGACATCTGCAACAGCAAGCACATGCGGAAGAACTCCCCCGGGTTGAGAGGTAAATGCTTTTTCCTTTTTTTTTTTTTTTTTTTTTGAGACAGAGTCTCGCTTTGTTGCCCAGGCTAGAGTGAGTGCCGTGGCGTCAGCCTAGCTCACAGCAACCTCAAACTCCTGGGCTCAAGCGATCATCCTGCCTCAGCCTCCCGAGTAGCTGGGACTACAGGCATGCGCCACCATGCCCGGCTCATTTTTTCTATATATGTATTAGTTGGCCAATTAATTTCTTTCTATTTATAGTAGAGACGGGGTGGGGTCTCGCTCTTGCTCAGGCTGGTTTCGAACTCCTGACCTTGAGCTATTCGCTCGCCTCGGCCTCCCAGAGAGCTAGGATTACAGGCGTGAGCCTCCTCGCCCGGCCACTTTTTCCTTTTTAATTTTATGAACTTTCAAATAAACAGAAATCACAAGAAAAGAAAAACTTTACCTATAATTGCTCTACCTTACCACATAGAACTATCTTCATTTTCCCTTCCAAACCTTGCCCATAAGCACAGACCATTTTTATGTTATCATGATCATAGCATATATCTCACTTTACAATTCGATCTTCATGCTTATTAGCACTATCTCCTCCCAGATTTTAAAAAAAATGTTTATCATTTTTCTAACAGCTAATTGATAAAGCGTGTTTTTTTTTTGAGGGAAAAAAACATGAACGTTTTTTAGATTCACCAATTGCTAACATTATATCTCAGTTGCTTTATCTCTTTTTTCTATGTTTATATACACACACACATGTGACATGTTTGTGCTTAAAGCACTTGATGTATGCAGACATCATGACACTTCACATCTGAATATATCATTGTGTATCTCCTCAGAACAAGGCCATCTCCTACATAACCATTATACAATTAATAAAGAAAATTTAGCATTAGGGCAAAACTATATATAAATTTAATTTATAGTCCTCAGTGCCATTTCTTTAAGAAATTATTTCTTAAATTAATGGTAAAAATGGTAGAAAAGTGATAAAATATACATAGCATAAAATTTATCATTTCAATAATTTTTAAGTGTAAAAATTTAGTGCATTAAGTACATTCACATTTTTGTACTACCATCATCATCATCCATCTCCAGAACTTTTTCATCTTCTCAAACTGAAACTCCATACCCATTAAACACTAACTCCTCATTCCCTCCTGCCCCCAGCCCCTGGCAAATACCACTCTACTTTCTGTCTCTATAAATTTGACAACTCTAGGTACTTCATATAAGTGAAATCAGATATTTTTATTAATATTAATTAATTAATATTAATTCCTTTTATTAATATTACTGGCTTATTTTGCTTACCATAATATCTTTAAGGTTCATCCATGTTGCAGTATGTATCAAAATTTCCTTCTTTTTTAAGGCCTATAATTTTTCATTGTATAGATATAACAACATTTTGCTTATCTATTCATCTGGGGATGGATGCTTGGGTTGTCTCCATGTTTTGGCTACAGTAACTAGTGCTACTGTGAACTTGGGTGTACCAGTATCTCTTTGAGACTCTATTTTCCATTCTTTTGGGTATATAATAAGAAGCAGAATTGCTGGATCATGTGGCAATTCTGTGTTTAAATTTTTCTTTTTTTTGGAGATAGAGTCTCACTCTGTTGCCCAGGGTAGAGTGCCATGGCATCAGCCTAGCTTACAGCAACCTCAAACTCCTGGGCTCAAGCGATCATCCTGCCTCAGCCTCCCAAGTAGCTGTGACTACAGGCATGCGCCATCATGCCCGGCTAATTTTTTTCTATATATTTTTAGTTGGCCAATTAATTTCTTTCTATTTATAGTAGAGATGGGATCTTGCTATTGCTCAGGCTGGTATTGAACACCTGACCTCGAACAATCCTCCCGCCTTGGCCTCCCAGAGTGCTAGGGTTACAGGCGTGAGCCACCATACCTACTAACTCTCTATGTTTAAATTTTTGAGAAATTGCCATTCTGTTTTTCATAGTGGCTGTACCATTTTTCATTTCTGCCAGTAACTCACAAGGGTTCAAATTTCTCACATCCTCTTTATCATTTCATATTTTCTTATTTTTTGATAACAGCCATCCTAATGGGTTTGAAGTGATATTATTTCTTGAGAATTTTCATATTATATAATAGTATTAATTTTTAATGTCTGTATGAAGTATATATAGAAGAGGTCAAGAATTTTGTGAAGCAGATAGAATACATGATTCTAAGATTCTTTAAAAAACAATTGCACCTCCTTATATTTTGGAAATAGTTTATAGTTTACAAAGGACTTTCACCCAAAATATCTCATCTTTGTTCCTCTCAGCAAAACCATGAAGAAAGGCAGATATATCATTTATTAGCCTCACTTAACGGGTAAGGAAACTGAGGCTCAGAAATTTTAAGGAACTTCTACTGCAGGAATAATCTCCTTAGATTATTTTTCGAAGAATGGAGGGTAATATGATGAATAAATAAAAAGTAATGTTTTCAAGAAACTAGAAATCAGCAGAGCTCACATGTTCTGATTCCATATCTAATGTTTTTTCTCCACACCACAGTGGTTTCTGAACAGGGGAACGTCTGGAGGGACGGTTTTTGGTGTAGTTTCTCAATGTCAATGCATTGTGTAAGAGAGAGATCCATATTTAGTATCAGTTCTAGTTAATCTACCAAGTTAACCATGTTGTTGACAAAAGAAGGATGATAGCTGGGCGTGGTCACGGCTCATGCCTGTAATCCTAACACTCTGGGAGGCCAAGGCGGGTGGATTGTCTTGAGCTCAGGAGTTTGAGACCAGCCTGAGCAAGAGTGAGACCCTGTCTCTTAAAAATAGAAAGAAATTGGCTGAACAACTAAAAATACCTAGAAAAAATTAGCTGGGCATGGTGGGTGGTGCATGCCTGGTAGTCCCAGCTACTCCGGAGGCTGAGGCAGGAGGATTGCTTGAGCCCAGGAGTTTGAGGTTGCTGTGAGCTAGGCTGACGCCACGGCACTCACTCTAGCCTGGGCAACAAAAGTGAGACTCTGTCTCAAAAAAAAATAGAAAGAAATTGGCTGAACAACTAAAAATACCTAGAAAAAATTAGCCGGGCATGGTGGGTGGTGCATGCCTGTAGTCCCAGCTACTCCGGAGGCTGAGGCAGGAGGATCGCTTGAGCCCAGGAGTTTGAGGTTGCTGTGAGCTAGGCTGACGCCACGGCACTCACTCTAGCCTGGGCAACAAAAGTGAGACTCTGTCTCAAAAAAAAAAAAAAAAAAAAAAATAGCAAAGGAGGATGTCGACTGTTATGGTGTACTATTGCCCCCTGGGTTTGCAAGGGAAAAGATTTCTCTGCTATACACAGTAGCACAACTCACACACAGACGAGCACAGGCTCACCTCACACGCACACACCACATATTCACACATGTCTTACCCACAGACATGCACGTTGATAAATAGTAAGTGACTGAAACCTAGAGTCATGCTCAAATGAGGTTTATTATGTCACAGGCTAAGGACTCACCCAGGATAAGCACAGGCCAAGAATGAATCTATCTGCTCATAAACTTTTTCACCTCTTCTACACAGGCCACAAGGCCCTGGGGTACTAAGGCCCTGGGGTACTGAAAGGAGAGGGCACACGGAAGAGAAGGGGAACGGGGAGAGGTAGGCAGTGAGGCAGATGGTTACATTCTTGGGCGGCTCTAATTAGTGCTCAGTACAGCCACGTTTTACATAAGGTAAGGTGGACATTCCAAAAGGGAGCAGAGGGAAAGAAAGTCAGTGATGCAGTCTTCACAGTCGGCAGAAGAGTGGCTGATCAAATCTGCCCTTGGTTCACATCTATGGAGATAAACCTGCAATGACTTGGTCAGCGTAAAACTTAAAACTCGGGAGCAAGGATTGATTCAGGTTGTAGCTGTAAGGTTGTAACTGGTGTGTGCCTGTTTTATAGGGGTCATACACCCTGAAAGGTTTTAGGGCTAACTAGGCAGTTCCGGGGGGGGGGGAACGACTTTGCTATTGTGGGCACCGGCTTATACGTCAATCACAGCTATTCGTTTGGGGCAGAGGATGGCAGTGCTGTGTGCTTCAGTTCTCGGGCTTGGTCTCCCTTTTGGCATTGTGTTTTGGGGGTCCCAAGATTTTATTTTTCCTTTACAGCATCTTCCACACATACTCTCAGTGTAGGTGCACACACACACACACACACACACACACACACACACATACACCCTTGCCCCTTCCTTCTGCCCTGCTTCCAGGAGGGTGTGACTCATCAAGTTTCTGGTCAGAAGCCAATTCCCTCCAGGCCACTGCATTGTTGGCTTTGACTTTTGGTATTACACTTGCGAATTGGGGGGCGGGGGGTAGAGAAAGAATCTGGAAAAATTTCTAGCTTAAATAAGATCAGACCTTTAGAATGGAGTTTCATTTTCTGTTTAAGTATTGTGAATCCTTAAATTGTCGGGTACCCATATTACAACACAGGCAGAATTGAAAAGAGTTTTGGAAACTCTTCCCTGATTTGCCCTAGTCTGTCTCTCCATTCACCACCGTGGTGAATGTTGACTTGGAACAGGGGACAGTGGACACCCCCACCTAAGAGTTTTGGGGCCTGGGGACCGCATCTCAGTCCTAGAGAAGAAGCTAGAAGAGAACCAGGGTCCAGCTCTTATCCTAGGCCATGGAATGATATTCTCTGCTGTGCTGGTGGAATGTCGAGATTCTTTCATTGTAGTAACTGCCCATCCTGAAGATTTTTTACACACCACCAGGTTAGGGCAAGTAATTTGATAGAACTTGGGTCGCAAAGGTGGAAAGGCTAAGAGGATCATTGGTAGTAGGAACTCAATCACAGTAAGTCTAATTTGCATTATTTCGTTTCATTTTGATTTTTTTCCCCTAGCTCCTTTCCATCGTAGAGCCGGGCCGTACAAAGCTAGAAGCAAAAGTAGAGAGCGATTCTTCCATGGCAGCCAGGAATTTCTGCCATCTTCCACTCAAAGGTCCTCCACGCCCAGTCCAGACCCGACGGGCCGCAGTGCTCCCGGGGATGACGTGCCTGTGGATGGCCTCACCCACAAGTTCACCTATCTGGAGACTCAGGATCTCGCTCAGCCCTCCTCGCCTTCGGCTAAAGCTACCAATCTTGGAGGAGCAGGTGAGGACGGGGCAAGCCAGAGGTTTTCCGAGAATGGCAGTCCAAAAGGCCTCTTTTATGGGAAGCAAAGCAACACTTACCTTGTTTCTGATTCAACACCAGCCTCCAACTGGAAGGACCCCACGCCCTGGCCGAAGGACCAAGGCACCGGGAAGGAGAGTGTGTTTTCCCCAATTCTGACTGCCGCCCGCCCTCCTCTTGGTTCTGCACCAACACCTGAAGCTGTGACCGCCGGAAACAGCACAGGCATGCTTTACTCCGACCTGAGGGACACCAAGGGCAGAAGTGGAACTCAAGATCTCCAGCATGTTTCTCTTTTCCATAATAATGCTGATGGAGGGGCCGCTGGCGTAACTTCCGCAAGATATTTCAATTACAACAGCACAACCAACAGTCAGAGAGAAACATCACTCCCTAGGGATCGAGACGCTGGACCTGCTTCCCGGGATCTCCAGACCACTGGCCAAATTACCGAGGGCGATACTGCCGCAGTGGCATTTGTTAACGGTAAATGCGGAGGGAAGACATTTTCGGCTAGTAAAACCACCCACAGTTCACCAGATGGCTCTAGTGACATTATGGATAAAACTACTAATGTATTAATAGAAAAAACTGGTGCCACTGGCTTTGGTTTAAAAACATCAGTCACTGGGGGAAAAGATGTATTGTGCTCTGGAAGTCAGAGTGTGAGAAGCCAGGCCCTGGCCACACCTGGAGAAACCACTGCCCCCGCACCAGTCAGCACCCTGCTTCAGTCACCTTCCTCAGGCAACAGAGCTGCAGCCTGTGGGACCCTTGGTCAGAACTCCACCCAAGTCCCTGTTCCCCCTGCCGGTGAGTCCACAAGGAGGACCCCAGGCTGTGCTCAGTGTAAGTCAGGGAAAGACACTTGAGGTCGCAGTAGGGTGGCTGTGGCTGGTGGTTTCTCCTTGGATGTTCCGCTGCAGCTCTTAAAGGGCATAGAGTTAGACAGTTCTGGTTAAGGGGTGGTACCAGGTACCAGAGAGCAGGCTGACTTATGAAGACAAGGAAGGACCAACCAGTAGAACCACGCATGGAACAAGTTGCTACATTTATTGACAATAGGAATAGTTTGACTATGGTTTAAGAAATAAACATAGCTGTCACGTGACTCTAATGTCCACATTTCATCTTAGGAAGAGGCTGTCTAGACACTCAGGAGCACGAATCACAGGTGTTGTCTTGCACATGGCCCCCGTTTCAGATATTCTTTCCCACTGTGAGACCAGGTGTCTTGAATTTTGGTTTAAACATTAATATCAGCTTACATGCATACCCTTTTGTCTTATAAATTCCATATCTGATGTTGTAGGTACCATGTCTTCTTGGGTACATGATCCTAGCTTAGAGAAAATTTGTCTTGACCATCTGCATGAGGGATGTCAGCTCAATGGTGAGTAAAATAAGGATTTTCTATAAGCTTCTACCTTTTGACCATTTAAATAATACTGCTGTAGGCCAGGTGTAGTGGCTCATGCCTGTAATCCCAGCAGTTTGGGAGGCTGAGATAGGAGGATTGCTTAAGGCCAAGAGTTTGAGACCAGCCTGGGCAACATAGTAAGACCCTTTCTCTAAAAAAGAAAAAAAAATTTAATAGTTGGCTGGGTCTGGAGGCTTGTACCTGTAGTCCCAGCAACTGGGGAGGCTGAGGCAGGAAGATTGCTTGAGCCCAGGAGTTTGAGACTGCAATGAGCTGTGATTGCGCCACTGCATTCCAGTCTGGACAGCAGAGTGAGACCCACTCTCTTTAAAAAAAAAAAAAATATATATATATATGCATATATATATAGATGCTGCTGTGAACATGGGTGTGCAAATGTCTGCTGAAAACTCTGCTTTCAGTTATTTGGGGTATATACCCAGAGGTGGAATCACTGGATCATATAATATTTCTATGCTTAATTTTTTGAGGAACTCTTTTCCATAGCAGCTGTACCACTTTTCATTTCTACCAGCAATGCCAAAGAGTTCAAACTTCTCCCCATACTCATCAACACTTGTTATTTTTCTGTGTTTGTTTATTACAAACAAACAGAGTAGCTGGGACTACAGGCATGCGCCATCATGTCCAGCTAATTTTTTCTATGTATATTAGTTGGCCAATTAATTTCTTTCTATTTATAGTAGAGACGGGGTCTCGCTCTTGCTCAAGCTGGTTTCGAACTCCTGACCTTGAGCAATCCACCCTCCTCGGCCTCCCAGAGTGCTAGGATTACAGGCGTGAGCCACCGCGCCCAGCCTGAATCGGCCAAGTTTTAAGCAGTGCCACTCTGTGGTTTCCCCGTGGTCCCTGAACCTGTCTGTTTATGTTTTAAAGTAATCACACACCTTTTTGAAAATCTCTAAGCGATTTAAATATAACACAAATGTTGAAAAACGGAACTACTTTCTGTCTTCCTGTATTATGGGTTTATGACATTAATTTGCTATTCAGCCAGCATTCCTTTAATGACCACCTTTTATGTGCTCGGCCCTATGCCAGATATGCAGGGGGGATGTAAGCTAAACAATGATGCATCCTTTTTTTTAGTGAGTTTGTAATTAAGGTGAGGCATCCAAACATCTGCAAATGAGAAAACTGCATAAAGTAAAAACATAAGTAACAAAACCCATGCTGGGTGTTGGGTCCTGGCTAAGAGAATACACAATACATGTCTAATGAGAGTAGAGTGAGGTTAGTTGGGGGAATCTTTCTGGAAGAGATGAATTATAGGCCAGGGCTTCAAAGAAATGCAGGCTACTGCCTATGCCACAGAGCATTTTATCTGAATATACACTTGGGGATGCAGAAAGGATAACTGTAAATCTGTAATGACCTCAGATTTCCATTTCGGTAAAGTGACTTTTTGGGGAGTGGGGAATTTTAGTTTTCTGATGAGTCTCCAAAGGTATTAAAGGGACTTGGGCAGTAGATATGGGGAAGAGGAGCATGAGTGAAGGTAGAGGTGGGAGCTGTCTGGCAGGGCGGGGAAGGCAGGCCAGGATGGGGAAAGCTGGCAGTGAACTTGGTTGACTTGATTAGAATCCTCGCAGAAAGGGCCCTCAGATCTGTCTGTCTTTGTAGAGAGCTGCGACAAAGACCACTTCCACCTGCCCTACCGGTGGCAGAAGCTCAGCGGAAAGAAGTGGGAAGACTTCGAGCACATGGAAGCGATTGAGGAAGCCTATTGCGCCCCCCAAAACTGTGTGTAAGTTGATGGCTGTACTCTGGCTTTTGAGATCCACATCATCATCAAAAGAGAGGAAAGTGCTAGGCTTATGGGAAAAGAAAACACACTTTTCTTTCAGAATCCCATTCAAGTGTGAAAGTTCTCGAGGTGAAAATGACAAATTCCTGATGAGTTACTGAAGAAAAAACACAGCTGGGCAGGTTTGCAGTTGCACTGAACCTGGCTAATATTAGGGATTCTGGGAATATTTGCTAACCCAAAGGAAATAAACAGTGCCACGATTGTTTGTTTAGTTGATGTCTGCCAGTGTGTCCTGCAGAAAAGCACAACGCAGAGATTGGTTTGTATTCTTATCAGTTCATCACAGACCTGTTAAAAGTACTGAATGATTCAGGACAAAAGAGCCTATGGCTTAAACTTCATAATTTTATAACATGATTTGAGTAATTTCATATAGTTCTAGTGCAGAATTTTGTTGTATATTGTAGCATTTTATACCCTTCTTATGTTTGTTATTTTTCTCTATCCTGGAGACATCTGAGAGGATACCTTACATTTCTGCTTCTGGTAGAGCTGAAATGGGTGATACCCACAAGACCATTTTCACCTATGATGTGCAGGGATATAAGATGCATTCCAGGCATGAGCCAGGCGCAGTGGCTGATGCCTGTAATCCCAGTACTTTCAGAAGCCGTGGCAGGAGGATTGTGAGGCCAGGAGTTGGAGATCAACCTGGGCAACATAGCAAGACCCTATCTCTACAAAAAATTAAATATTTTTTAGGGTAATTAAAATTACCCAAGTGTGGCAACACATGGCTGTAGTCCCAGCTACTTTGGAGGCTAAGGTAGAAGAATCACTTGAGCCCAGGAGTTTGGGCTATATATAGTGCGTTATGCCGATGGGTGTCTGCACTAAGCTCTGCATCAATATGGTGACCTCTGGGGAGTTGGGGACCACCAGGTTGTTTAAGGAGGGATGAACCAGCCCAGGATCAACATGGAGGTCAAAACTCCTATGCTGATCAGCAGCGGGATCACACCTATGAATAGCCGCTGCATTCCAGCCTGGGCAACACAGTGACACCCTGTCTCTTAAAAAAATGCAACCTAATTTTACAAGGAATTTCTTTGGGGGGAAATTTACATAGTTTTCCTGATATGTGAATTTAGTGAATTTTTGGTGAAGATTCTGTGTTGCTGCATTTTGCCACTAGAGGGTGGCATCAGCTATTTTCTTGTTTCTAGATACATATTCCCCCCACCCTATCCAGGTAAATCTAGAGCAGAGTTTCTCAACCTCAGCTCATTGACAAGTGGGGCCAGATCATTTGTTGTGGGTGCTGTTTAGCAGTATTCCTGGCCTCTGGCCACTGATGCCAGAAGCACTATTCCCCTGTGGTTCTCCCCACCCCCCAGGTTGTTGTCTTAACCAAAAATGTCTTCACATGTCAAATGTCCCCTGGGGCAAAATCATTCCTCACTGAGAATCACTGATCTAATTGGTCTTTGTTAGAGCAGCAATTCTCAACTTTTTGGTATCAGGGTCCCTCGACACTCTTAAAATGTATTGAGAATCCCCCCAAATTTCTATTTATGCGGATTATAGCTGTCAATATTTACCATATTAAAAATTAAAACTGAAAATTTAAATATTGATTCATCTAAAAATAAGACTAATAAACTTGTTACATGTTAACGTAAATAACATATTTTATATAACTATATTTAATACCGTGTATATATTCATATACATCCATTTAATATATATACTCATGCATATAACTCTCTCTCTACATATAGGTAACCATAAAATAACTGTTTTCCAAAACAAAAGATTTACTGAGACATTGTTTTATATTTTTACAAATCTCTTTAATCTGCCTTAATAGAAGACAACTAGGTTCTCGTATCTACTTCTTTATTCAATCTGTTGTGAAATCATACATCATGTAGCCTCAGGAAAAGTCCATGGTGCACTCACAAGAGAATTAAAATGAAAAAGGCAAATAATGTCTTAATGTTATCATGAAAATAACTTTGACCTTGTTGATTCTCTGAAAGGGTCTTGGAAAACATTTTGATAACTATTAAATAATAACAAATAATATTTAAAACTGACCTAATGTGAGTTTCTAACTCATTTTCTGACATTGAGCCAATCAGTTGTTTTGTGGGTACAGTTTTATTTTGAGGTTTTGTTTTTTTTTTTTTTTTTGAGGGAAGAATACATTTTGTGACACTGTGAAAGATACAGTGCTGGCAAGTCACTTTGTCTCTCCGTATTTCAGTTGTTCTTTTCTGTGTAAGACTTGGAGCTGCCTAAAGAAAATCTGAAGATGCTTTTTAGCCCTAAAATCTCCTTTGGGAAGACCAGATTGTAGAAAACAAAGGCCGATGAAACATTGTGTTAACTTTATACTTTCCTCTCTCAGCTTTTTAGCGGGAAAGGGCAGAATCGATTTCGAGAACATGATTTGTGATTCCATGCCCATCCGACGCATGTGCACTCCCACATCTATAGGGAAGGCGGCCGACTCTGTCTTTACCACCGAATGGATCTGGTATTGGAGGAATGAATATGGCAAGTGGATTCCATATGGGGAAGAGGTGAGCATCATTCCTCCTTGTGGGAGTCTCTTGTTTAAACTCGCCAAATTAGAAAGGAAACTATTGATAAAATGTTTGAAGCCTCCATGGTTACCCATGGTGTGTGGATGTAGTAGAGGAAGTGATGTTTTTTTTACTTTATACACAGCCGTATTGGTATTTTTCAGCAAGCATGCACTCCAACTGCAGTCATAAACAAGAACATATATGAATTATTTTTATGGGAAAATAATGACTCATGTCAGCGGTATATGCCGCTTTCCTCACCATCAGAGATGGAGGTGGAGCCTTGAGATAGTTTTCTATGTATTAAGACATAAATGTACAGAGGCTCCTGCTTTGAGCAGAAAAGAGAGCGTGAGTGAGAAGGTATAGGACTGCACGGGGTTGGATGGTTAATTGTACTAGGGGGTGTGTTAATTCACTCAAGCAGTGAAACCACATCTAATACAGATGGTCACCAGTATTCAGTCAGGGTCTGGGTTCAGATGGATTTAACGGATTGGAACTAGAAGATTCTAGGCTGACCCACAGAGGGGGCAGAGTAACAGGGGATAGAAGTTTGGATAAGGAGAGCTTCTGCCATTGTAAGTGTCCCTGCCTCCCTTCGATTCATAGGATTAAAGAGGGAGGGAGGCAGGGGGAGAGAGAGAGCCTAAGTACCGTGTTTCCCTGAAAATAAGACAGGGTCTTATATTTATTTTTCCTCAAGATGACACCCTAGGGCTTATTTTCAGGGGATGTGTTATTTTCCCCTTAAAGCCTCAGCTTGCAGCATGCACAGGATGGCTGGGACCTGACAGGGGGAGCCGACCTTGTTGGTGGGGCTGCCCGCACCTTTCCGGTTACCTCTGGGATAGTAGCTGTCACAATGGGACAGATGAGAAGGACTGCTCTTCTTCTTTACCACTCAACGACAAAATGCATGAGTTGTGCAGATACACTGCGTAGCCACACCCATCACTAGGTCTTATTTTCGTGGTAGGGCTTATATTACGCAAATGCTTAGAAATCCTACGAGGGCTTATTTTATGGGTAGGTCTTATTTTTGGGGAAACATGGTAGGTAATGAAATCAGATGAGAAAGAGAAAATAAAAGCAAGAGATGGAAATGAAATCAAAGATAAAGGAGGGACAAGGGAATGCCAGCATGAGGTTCTGCACAGTTACAAGTCAATAGGCCGTAAGTGTGGCTCTGAGCTGCCTAGCTGCCAAAGCAGACAAAGAAACACAGTCTGTTACAAGATGTTCTGCGCCTCTGCGGTGAAAACACACCTGCTGCTCAGGAGAGGTGCCGCTTTTTTCTGTTAGTGAGGCTTGAGAAAAACACCTCCAATGTATGTGCTGGTGAGTGAGGTCCTCAACAACAAATAGCCCTGCCATCAATTCAGTGGCTTAGTGGGTCCCACCCATATTAGCAGCAGATACATTTTGTCAAACAATCTTTCAAAGAATGTAAACGAGCAAACTAGAGTAAAGCAGAGCTGCCTGTTGACATAGGATGGGGGCTGAGCGCTATCTCCTGGTCCCCTTCCTTGGTCTCACCTCTCGCCCTTGGTGGCCCGTGTGGCATCTCTGAGGAACAGAGTTCTGCTGAACAGTGCGTGACAACTCCTAGGATGTTGGACTTTGCACAGATTCTTATTTTTAAGCCAAGGATGATAAAGACTGAGTGGTCCTGTGAGACAGCTGTGGAAATAGAAATGATATGCCTAATTTAATTAGCCTTGGTTAAAATGAAAATAAAAAGTATAGATCTCAATGGTTCTCATGTCAAATATTTGCAATTTTCAGTAAGATAAGGGAGAAGGGTTGGAAAACATTTGCATTCTAGTGACATCAGGGTTCCAGGAACCAGACAGAACTATCACTGGGGAATAGATGGTATTTAAATTTAAATTTATACAAGTTCTATTGAACTTCCAGGGAAATCTGTACAAACAAACCTTGTTAAACTAATCCTTATTCTTCTAGCCAATGTAACAACCCTAGCCCAAGCCCCTTTCCCTCATGACCTTTTTATTGTTTACTACTTTTGGTCTAATTCAGTGTAAATGTTCATCTCTAACTGCATCTTTTGAGTCTTCATTTCCTTATGTGTTGAATAAATCTGTATGCTTTTTTCCTGTTGATCTGTCTCCTGTCAATTTAATTCTCAGGCCAAGCCAAAAAACTCTAAAAGGGTAGAAGTAAAACTTTGCCCCCCTTGCACTACCACCTAGGACGGCACAGAGAACATTCCGTTATCACAGAGTGTTCTAGTGAACAGCACTGGTCCAGACCTTCAAGCCTTGCTAGTCAAAGTGAGGTCCATAGAGCAGCAGCATGAGCATCACCCAGGAGCTGGTTGAAGCACAGAATCTAAAGTCCTTCCCCCCGCCCCCCCCGTTTTCCCTGAATCATATCTGTATTTTATTAAGATCCGTGGGTGACTCACATGCCTGTCAAAATTTGAAAGTCTCTGGCCTTTTAAGCCAGGAACAGGATGGGCTCTACAGAGCTGAGCAGGCAGCTGATGGACACAGGACTTCAGCTATAGGGGTGGGAAAATGGGGAGGGAATTCAGCTAGGGGTCACACTGGGGTATACTGAGGTGACAGAGCTGCCCCATCCCACCCTGTGCCCAGAGATGTTTGCCCACTTCAGCTGCTCTTGGGGCCCGAGGAGGGCACATGGCTTACCAGGCATCTCATCCTGGCAGCCATCTCTTTTACAGTCACCCTGGAAGATACTCTCCCCGAAGCTGCGGCAACAAACATCGACATGGTATGACTTAACTGTTGGATGCTGTAGGTTAGAAAGTTCTGCTAAAGTCTGCCTCCTTGTGCCTTCTACCCTTTCTCTGGTTCCACTTCCTGAAATACGTCCAAGTTTATTCCTGCTTTGGGCTGTATGCAAATATTTGAACACAGCTTTCTGCTCCAACCGTGCTCTGCTCCAGGCTAAAGAGACCCAGCTCCGGCCCTTCTCCATCTGAGACATTTTCCCTGATGCTTTCATTCTGGTGCCCTGTCCTACATCCAGCAGGCATTTCCGTTAGGGAAAGGGAAGGAGGGTAGATACAGCCGAAAGCTGGAGTCTGGAATGCCATTAAAGGGCTACCAGCAGGATTTTGCTCTCATTCGTTCCTCCATTCTAGATCACCAGAAACAAGTGTCTTCTCACCATTAGATATTGGGAACCTGTACTGTTCAAGGCTTACATCTAGTAGCCCCTAGTCAGCTGCCCTGGCCATAGAGTGAGGACAGTGGCACAGTGGCCTAGCCTGCCCCCTTGCTAGAATTAACACACTTCTATTTTACCACCCATTGTGCTGTTTGGACACTTTATATATACTTTTAGACCACAGGTTATATCTTTACATTTTGGGGGTATTTATTATTCACTCCTTTCATTATAGCTCCAGTCAGTGGCAAATCTAAGTGCATTTTCAGTGTAGGTGACTGGCTTGGTCAGTTTTGTGTACTTAACTCTGGTTGAGGGCAGAAGAGAGGGTTAGATCATTTCTATTTGGACACTAGTACATCTGTTGGAAGTTGGATAAGGAGCAGGAGGTCTTCCTTTACTTGCTTTTACTACAACTCTAAACTGTGGTAGGTGAGAATAGCCCACAATGCTCAATTTCATGCAAGTGTCAAATGTCAGATTCTGTTAGGTAGCAAGCGCAGACACGGCATTGCAGAAGAGGGGGTGCAAGTTGCTCTGTATGCTTGGCTCATATTTTATGGATAGTGCAAAAAGGGTATTGCAAAAAGCCATGTTCTTCAGGCATCCACAAAGTGTTTAGTCGGTTTCTGCAGGATAGACTGCTGTCTCTTAGGCACTATGACGAAGAGGAGCACAAAAGGTGACATTCCCCATTCTGGAAGCCTTACAGTCTGGTTTGGGGAGCAAGATGCATTTCCATTCAAATCCCATTGCTAAAATAAGAGCATATGAGATAAAATAGTAGAGATGTCCTAAAAGCCTTCCCTGAAATCTTTACCTTTTTTTTTTTTTTTTTAAATTAGAAAGATAACCAGAAAGGTTCGAACATTGACTCTTCATACCTGGAGTCTGTCTATCAGCATTGCCCAAGAGGAGTTGTGAGGTTTCAGGCGGGTCCACGGAACTATGAACTGAGTTTCCAAGGTGAGTTTTTGTGTTTGGCAGTGTTGTTGAAATCTGGCACATGGTACACATGTGGGAGTGGGAGCAGAGCAGATTTGCATTGCTACCTCTATGGGCAGGGTTCTTTGGGGCAAGACAAGCAGTACCGTGGAGAGGAAGGCAGTGGCTGTCAGAAGACTCATGCTCTATAGCTCTGGCTCTGCAACCCTGGGAAGGACATCTGGCCTCTCTAGGCCCAGTTCTCTCAATCGTAAAATCAGGGGATTGAACTAAATTGTCTTGGGGGTACTTTCAGCTTTGCCATTATAAGTTTTTGATGCTGGGTGGGCAACCTCCCAGGCTGAGGCAGAGTTTTCAGGTGATGACTGCAGTAGAGGCCCTGGGCCTTTGGGTGCCTCCAGGGTTTTAGAAACTTGCTGTTTCTCCTGGGTTTCATCATCTAGGTCAATGGTTTTATCCATCACATTGATTAAAACACTTTGCCTTCCACCATGTTTATTTCGGCCACTATGGAAAGGTCTTCTGGTTAGCCTTCACTGAGGCATAATTATCACAGTAACATGCATCTATTTTTAGCATTCAGTTGGATGAGTATTGACATATGCATGTAACCCTACCATGCTAATCAAGGTATAGAACATTTCCATCAACCCAAAAAGTTTCCTCTTGCTTCTTTGAAATCCATCTCTCCACCTCCACCACCACACACACACACTCCCTCTTTCCCCATCACAGGCCATTACTGATTTGCTTTCTGTCCATATAGATTAGTTTTACCTGTTCTAGAACTTCATCTTAATAAACTTTTATAGTATATGCATTGCATGTGGCTGACTTCTGAGTGAAAGAAGTCAGCCACAAGATAATTTTTTTTTTAGATTCATCTATGTTATTGCATGTGTAGTAGTCTTTTCCCTTTTATTGCTGAGTAATGTCCATTGTAAGGATATACCATATAGTTTATCCATTCTTCAGCTGATGGACATTTAGGTTGCTTCCACCTTTTGGTTATGATGATAATGCTACTGTGAACATTCATTTGCAAGTCTTTGTGTGCATATAGGTTTTCATTTCTTTTGAGTAAATGCCTAGGAGTGGGATTGCTGCATCATTTCGCTGTGCACATGTAACTTTATAAGAAACTACCCAACTGTTCCCCAATGTGGTTGTGCCATTTTACACTCTCACTAGCAGTGTATGGTGATTTCCTTTTTAAAGGGATCACCTTTACAGTTGGGACCTAGGTCTACAACATGCGTGAGTTGAAAATGATGTTTCACACTTGGTGTAGAAAAAAACCTTCAAGACATAGCTACTGAATTCCAACCCGTCATCACTGATGTCTGGTGTAGGGCGGCTTGCACGGATGATGTCTTGTTATCTGGCTGCCCCAGCTCTCCTCTTTTACCATCTGACTTTGCTTTAAAGATTAGATTAACTCCTCAATGTCCATTCGCCTCTTTGCTTTCTGAGCCTTTTGATAAGGGTGGCGAAGGACGCGCCGTTTTTATCACGAGCAATTTTCACTCAAAAGGATTTTCTTGTTTCATACACATACGGTTCAGTCATGAATATTTGCTGTGTAAATAGCCTTTGGAAAATAACAAGAAGACGTTTTCTAGGACTAATTCTTGATGGTGGTTGGTTTTATGTTTTCTGTCTAAAGGGATGATTCAGACAAACATAGTTTCCAAGACTCAAAAGGACGTCATCCGAAGGCCAAAGTTTGTGTCTTCGTGGGATGTGAATCAGAAGAGAAGGTGGCCCGAGTAAGTGTCCTGAAGCGCTGTTTGCTGGCAGGTGCTTGAGATGCTCATGCAATGGGCTTATCGGGTCCCTCATGGACCGGGCCCCTGGTTTCCTGAAAAGTTCTTGCTTGCATAACACTGCAATTTCATTTTGTATTGTCTATATGAATAAGGTGCTTGTTAAGCAGCATGGTGTGACTGAAAGAATACCAGCCCAGGAAACTAGTTTTTCCCTCTTATTCACAGGGGACTTTGGATAGGTCTCTTAAATAACCTTCATGGCAGCTTCTCCAGCTGTGAATGGCTGGATAAATGTAGGTGTCTAAGAAGTAATCACATGCACTGGGTTTTTGCTGTGGATTCTAAAGAGTTTTGCTGTGTGATTTACAGAGGATGGGAGGCTGAAAGACAGAGAGAGAAAAAAGGGATGAGGTAGCTGTGTGAGTAGGGCTTTTGATAAAGATAACATTGATTAAAGGGGATTTTTTTAAAAGAGAATTTTGCTGCAGGGATTTGTCATAACTCTCCTCATGAAACTCTCAGTAAAATCAACATTGTTCATGAACGATTTTTGGAGTTGGATTTATTTTTTCCTGAGTGATGTGTGATCATGTAAAATAGGCTTCAAGACAGGTGTAAAATCAAGGTGTCCTAATTAGGTTCTCTTGGTTGTAAGAATTCAAGGTATTTCATGAAAAAGGGAAATTACTAAAAGGATAAATAAATGTGAGGTAATATGGAAAACAATTCTCAAGAATCCAAGAACAGGGCCAGGCATGGTGGCTCACGTCTGTAATCCTAACACTCTGGGAGGCCGAGGGGGGTGAATCGTTCAAAATCAGGAGTTTGAACCCAGCCTGAGCAAGAGCGAGACCCCCATCTCTACTAAAAATAGAAAGAAATTAATTGGCCAACTAAAATATATATAGAAAAAATTAGCTGGGCTCAGTGGTACATGCCTGTAGTCACAGCTACTTGGGAGGCTGAGGCAGAAGGATTGCTTGAGCCCAGGAGTTTGAGGTTGCTGTGAGCTATGCTGATGCCATGGCACTCTAGCCCCGGCAACAGAGTGAGACTCTGTCTCAAAAAAAAGAATCTATGAACAACCATGGTGACTCCTAGCACTCTGGGAGCCTGAGGCAGGAGGATCGCTTGAGTCCAGGAGTTTGAGGTTGCTGTGAGCTAGACTGACATCACAGCATTCTACTCAGGGCAACAGAATGAGACTTTGTCTCAAAAAAAAAAAAAAAAAAAAAGAATCCAAGAACAGGACCTGAGCTATATCAGGGTCTCAGGAATGGGAACTAGTTCCAGTTTGGCTTTAGAATGAGAGCAGCCTGGAGTCACAGATCCTTGCCTGTGACCAGGCTAACAGCCTGGATCTGGATCATCTAGGCTCAGACTCTACCCTGCTACTCATTAGCTGTGTGGACTTGGACAAATTAATCATGCTGTACTTGCCCATCTATAAAACGGGCTTAATAATAGTGCCTTCCTCAAGATTACTTGAGTGATACATTCCAGACACTCAGAACAGTAGCTAATATGGCAGGATGTTCAGCGAATGTTAGTTGCTCTTGCTATTATTATTTTTATGTCCCTGCTATGAACAGACTCAGCAACTGTACGTAAGTCGACTTAATTTTAATTCAGAATTCCGATCTGCGTATTCCCTCAGCCTTACTTTCTGCCACTAACTGCCTAATTTTCTCTGAATTTCTTAATTCGATTTCCCAAGAAATTAAGTCTGATTGGTCTAGCTATCTAAAGTCCCTTCCAGGATTTTTAATATTCAAATTAATAAAGTAAAAAATATTGCAGGGTTTGGGGAGGGAGGAGTAAAGTTCATGCCCTCATGGAGCTTGCAGTCTGGTGGATGAGGCAATGTGTAACTATTTCAGCTCCTGACAAGTGTTAGGTGGGGAAGAAGACAGTAGGGGGTTGGGGAGATGCTACTTGCATTCAGGCAACTAATGAGGTCATCGTAGCTGCTTCCTATTATTATTATTTTTTTTTTTTGAGACAGAGTCTCACTCTATTGCTCCAGGTAGAGTGTAATGATATCATTATAGCTCACAGCAACCTCAAAATCCAGGGCTTAAGTGATCCTGCTGTTTTAGCCTCCTGAGTAGCTGGGACTACAGGCACGTGTCATGAAGCCCAGCCAATTTTTCTATTTTCAGTAGAGACAGGGTCTCGCTCTGGCTCAGGCTGGTGCTTCCTATTCATTAAAATGGCAGGACATCTTGGCAAAAGTTTGTTTGAACTGTATTTCCTGAAAGCTGCAAAACTATATGCTTTTAACCACTTCGATACGAGCATTGACTATAGTCGACAGCCACAGATGAACGCCCACAGCGACTTTAGCCGACAACCGTGATATGACTTTTCTAATTTTTCATTTATCAAAATAAAATTGTGAACATTTAAACATAACGTGATGAAAACATGTATGTATATGTTACCTATTCTGATTTACATTACAAGTAAAGCTGCCTGTAAAGTAAAACAAGCTTTCAGTGCTTTAAAGCTTTCCTCATCACACAAGAGCAAAACGGATGTGTTGTCAATGCACAGCACACACTGTCGTGCGGACTGTTAGTGCCGGCCGTGGGCAAGGTTTCACAGCTGGTGAGCGCAGATACCGAAGTAGTTAAAAGAAAAAACAAGTGATTTTAATTGTTTAACAGTTCAGATACTCCCAACTAGTCTCAACTAGTGAGACTGCACTTTGTTGCCTTTCTGGATAGCAGAAACTGTCGCAAGTGCAATGGACCTTCTCAACTCCAAGCTGGATGGTTCTTTCTGTGCATATATATTTCCAAGGGAAGAAATTGGTTTATGGCATTTCTAGATCTCTCCTGTGGTCAGTCCATTGCCTGTCTCAGTAATTTACACATGCCATAGTTGCTTCAGGCTTCCCTGTTTGCTTTTTCCCCCTCTCTGAGAACATTCCTTCCCATGGTGCTTATGAATTCAGCAACCTCTGTGACCGGCTCAGATGCCACTTTCCCATACAAACCTTCCTTGTGACTCTCCCTCAGTCTCTCCTTTGCCCTCTAGTAACACCTGTAATTTCCTCATAGTCCTTGTCCCCTTCTACCTTGGAATATTGTTGTTTGTGTAAATGTCATCTCTAGCACAACCCTCCCTCCCCCGACCCCAGTTGTCAGGTCTTGAAAGCTCTTGAAATATTTTGTGTAATAATACATGGCACATAGTGATACTAAATAGATAGCTAAGTGAGTAAATGAATAAAATTAATTGAGAAAAACGTATTGTGGGGGAATCATGCAGAGAACCAGCTTTCATCCTGCTTTGACTAGCCTGGCGGAGACACACCACACTAGCTGTAAGATAGAATGAGGGCTGCAGCACCATCCTAGCGGGCGGAGGAGGAAGGAAGTATAGCACACTTCGCTGTTCATGAGCATCTTACAACATTGTCATTCAGTCTGCCCAGCACTGTGCAAATCCAGAATGGAAATATGAGTTTAAAATAGAGATAAATCGGGGGCAATCTTTCCCTTCCAAAAAAAGGCTTCATTTTACACAAGGAGGTCTTTAAAGAATTTTTTCCTTAAAGTGTTCATTTTTTAAATTTAATTGTTCTCATCATGGAAATTTTCAAACATAAACTAGAGAGAATTATATGGTAAACCTCTATGGTACCCATCACCTGCTTCAACAATTGTCAATATTTTACCATCTTGTTTCGTCTATTCCCACCATTACCTCTCATTTTTTTTTTTTACTGGAATATTTTAATGTAAATCCAACACTTGTTATCATTGCCCTCTAAATATTTCAGATTGTGTCCCTAACAGATAAGGGGTTTTTAAAACATTTTACAGTACCATTAACTCCCCTAACAGAATTAACAATAATTCCTTAATATCTAATACCCATTTTATGTTCTATGTTTTCCAGTTTTCTCAAAAATGATTTTTTATAGTTGATTTATTCCAATCAATAGCCAAACAGGGTCTGTACATTGCATTTGATTGACTTGATTTGTCTCTTAAAACTCTTTTATTCTATTACACTTTCCCCTTCTGCACTTTTTTCATACAATTGTTTTTTAAAGAAATTAGGTGATTTGACCTATAGAATTTCCTAAATTCAAACTGTAGCAAATTGTGTCCTCATGGGGCCATTTGATGTGTGATTTCTGTAAATTGATCATTAGTTTTAGAAGACTGATTATTAGATTCATGTTCAGTTTTTAGTCAAGAATACCATACAAGTGATGTGTTGTACTTCCTGTCACATCTTATGAAGAGATATATAAGGTCTGATTATCCTCTTTTTAGTGATGAAGATCACAGAGTAGGTTCAGGTCATTCCATTCTGATCCTTCCATTATAGTATTCCTCATCCAATCTTTCACTTATGGTTTTTTTTGAGACAAAGTCTTGCTTTCTTGCCTTGCCTAGAGTGCCGTGAAATCAGCCTAGTTCACAGCAACCTCAGACTCTTAGGCTCAAGCAATCCTCCTGCCTCAGCCTCCTGGTATCTGGGACTACAGGCACATGCCATCATGCCTGGCTAATTTTTTCTATTTTTAGTTGTTTTGGTTAATTTCTTTCTATTTTTAGTAGAGATGGGTTCTCGCTCTTGCTCAGGCTGGTCTCGAACTCCTGAGCTCAAGCAATCTTCCCACCTAGGCCTCCCAAGTGCTAGCATTACAGGCATGAGCCACCGCACTCAGCCCACTTATGGTTTTAGTAGCTAATGATGATGATTATTTAGGTAATTATCTAATTATTAATTAGATAATGATGATGATTATTTAGATCCATTATGTCATTAGATGCTGGAAAACAGTGGTTTTCTAATTCTAGCGATTCTTTTGTAATTATTAGCTGCGATTCATCTATAAAGAAGAATTTTTCCTCCTGTATGGTCACCCTAAAATATATTAATAGTTCATACAAGAAAGACAGAATTCTTTCCCTTGAATCTTTAATATACTTAAATGTTTTATCATTTGAAGCTGTTAGACACATTTGCTTAATGCTAACACATTAAGACCTTTGAAGGTTGAGCAGAAATACAAAAAGGAATCAATGCTTGTGCATTTTAAATCAATGGGAAAATAGCATTTAATTTACTGATTATGAATAGTTACTGTAGTTTTTAAAAGTGTGCTTACTGGTACATCCATATCACGATCTGCAAGGATGTAGCCCAAAGAAAAATACAGAAATAAACACACCGTGCATTTCTCTAGGAACCTTGGCTTAGTGGCAGGCAATTAAGATAAAAAGTCACTTGGGCATATGGAACAGGGAGCTCAGAGAATTCTTACTCTATCTTTATTTGTAGCTATCAACCAGTGCAGACCACGCCAGAGCCTTTATCCTCGACATTTCTTCCTCAGCAGGACCCTGGCTTCCTACCCTCGAATGAGTTTAAGGTACTTGGTTTTTACTTGTTTGGTGGGTGAATCATATAAAGGTGGGGAAAAGTCCTTTGCTACACGTGTATGTGTTTGTCCGTTTGAATGAATGAATTGCTCCTGCAAAACTCTTGGATCAAGATCCAAAGGCAGACATCTAATGGTTCTCTTTCCCAGAGAAAAATTAGCCTTTGTACAGTACTTCATTCGTTTCTGGAGTTCATCTGGGCAGATCTGCATGGCAACCTTGTAAGATAGATACTAGTATCTCTATTTTACAGATGAGAAAACTGGAACTCACAGAGCAAAAGTGAACTTGTCTATTAGTTACAGTTAAAAAGTTAAAAGGTTTCTGTGGGAATCAAACAAACTGTGCCTCACTGTCAACCTAGCCAGGTGGGGGCAAGACTATTCCTAGATCTGCCTGCCAGCTTTGGATTTTTTGCAGGCGGATCTGCTGGGCTTCCACCGGCACTTCCAATTCCTCTGTGCCTGCACTGCTTCTGGAGCATTAGGCAAGGAACTAAATCGGACGCCAAAGGGGACCTCTCTTTGTCCATAGTCATAATGTTTTGCTAGCCTTAAATTGGCCTGAGCAGACAGACCCACTGCCTCTTTGGTTCATTACTGCAGTGAGCTGCCAGATGTGGAAACCCTAAGCCCGCCCATCCCACCTGCTGTCAGAACCTGGCAATGATACTTCATGGCATTAAGGGGCATACATATGGATGTACCATGCTTTAAATGTTTCCTGTTTCTCACTTACATATTTTTTAAATTTTTTAGTTGTTAGAGCTCAATAACCAGCATTTGGAATATGCCAAAATAAGTAAGCATTTTGGAGCCTCCATGAAAAATTTCAAGATTGAAAAGATAAAGAAGATCCAGAACCAAAATCTCTTAGATAATTTTAACAGGTTGGTGGCCACATGATCAGATTTCCTTATAGAAAACTGGTAAGGATTAATTAAGATCTGTCCTTTAAGATTTATATTCACTGATTTATTTTAGTAGTCAACAGTTTCTTCAGGCTCTGGTTGTTTGGTCATTGTATAAACTTGAGGTTCTTTCTTTCAACTTTTACAGTTTTGCAATTCAATGATTTCATGTGTCTATCATTTAAAAGTTTTCCTAAGTTTATTATTTTATGGATGCTGCCTTAAAGTTAGTAGCTGCATTCTGAAAACTTCTGGAATAAACTTTAAAATGATTAGACTTTAATTGGGATTAATGTTACTAACTGGAGTGAAGGAAGGAAGTTCTCGGTGTTAAGTCTCCCATTTCCTATTTTAGGAAGAAAAAGCAGATGAAGAAGGAAGAAGAAAAACTCCTGTTTTATGCAACGAGGCACACTCATGTGGACTCTATCTGTGCGAAGAATTTTAACTGGACCATCCATGAAACTCATGAACCCAAATATGGAACAGGTTTGTGCTTGAGTAGAGAAGCCTAACTAGTCATAACTCAGGCTTAGTACACGCTTCTATTATGAGGTATATGTAATTATTTTGTATTAACCAGTGGTAGTCATGGAGGGCAGAGAAGCTCAGTTTCTTAAATGTCCAAATTCGAGTGGTTCAACTGACTTTGGGCTTGATTGCTGGATCTTAGCCCTGCTCCTGCCTTCTGTTTTTTTGTGTTTTTTTTTTCTGGAAGTGACCAGAGTCTCATACATGTTTATAAACTACTCCATCTGTTGGCTACATTGTCTACCGTTACTATTCCTTTCTGGCTATGGCTCTATCTGACCCAGGCCCGGGCTTGCGAAGCCATTGTAAGTAGCCTTCAACTGTTGCCACAGATGGGTTCTAATTAAAGATGGGAAGAAGAGGCCTGTCCCCATCTCAGGTGTCACTGGGTCACCTAGGGCCTGACGTATCACAGGTCTGCCCACACACAGAGTCTTTATAGCTATTTCTTTCTGCTCGTAAGCTTCTGCATGCAGTTCTTTAAAACCAACAGGCAAACACCAAAGAATCACGCATCTTTAGGGAACCAGAAAGAGTTTATCACAGTTTCAAAGTGGGCTCAACTCATACAACTAAGATTCAATTCACACACAACCGCAAAAAGCAAGAAGTCAACCAGTGAGTCGGCAAATATTTTCGAGTGTCTTCTATACGCTAGACACTGAGGTCACAGTAGTGAACAAGTGAGACATGGCCCCAAACAAATTATTTCATATAAATAATTAAAGGATTGCAAATGTGGGGCTGCTGCAGGGAAAAAGAACAGGAGCTGTGGACACCTAACCCCGCTAGAGAGACGACGTTCTCAAGGAAAGGCATATAGTACCAGTTACCTGCCTAGTAGAATCAGCGTGTAGAGAGTAAGTGATGAGTGGCACAAGATACAGCCAGACAGTAAAGAGTTTAGACTTGACTATAAGGGCATAGGAAGCTCATGAAAGGGTTCAAGCTGGGGAGTTGATGAGATGGGGACTTGATGAGAATTTCATAAGTTTGTTAAGTTTAAATGCATCAGTGAAACTTACCTAGAAATGTTTGGAGGAAGTATAATAACTGTCCTGAGTGACCTATAACATGGGTGAAATTAAACCCATCAGTTTCTCATGGGTCTATCCTATGTCAGAATTCAAACAAATACTTATCCTAAAAAATGAAATACCTTATGTACGTGTTCCCAGATTTTGGCCATAGCTTGTTTTGGCAGTGACACATATGGGTGCTGGTAGGTATGGAAACATCAGTGATTATCTGGGGTTGTTTTAGAGTTGAGAACTATGCATCAACTGTCTTGAAAAGCTTTGTCAGGGCCGATGCCTTGCCCATGCTACACCGCTGCCTTTGGCCTTTTCCAAGACCTTCCCATCAGTAGTTAGTGACTTTTGTTCCTTAAAATGTTCACACAGGATAAAGTAGTCTCTGCTCTGAGTATCTTTGGCTCATAGGTTCCAACTCGGTTCATTCAACTCATCCTGCAAGAGTTGCATAGATGGGCCACTGTGTCTGTCATCACCGCCTGCTTATTGCCCCCGATGGCTCACCCCATCAGTGTGAGCCCTGCACTGTATTATGAGCATTTTTTAAAGTGCAAAGGAAAGTTTATATATATCAGTGAGATATTATTGATATGCTTCGTTCATGCCTTTCATCTGATTATGTATAAATAATCTTATAAACCAGGTACCCTCTTTTATAATAATTCTTAACCCTTTTTCTGATTATTTTTAGGAAATTACTTCGCAAAAGATGCCATCTATTCACACAAAAATTGCCCGTATGATGCCAGAAACATCATTATGTTTGTAGCCCGCGTCCTGGTTGGAAATTTTATCGAAGGAGATAAGACATACACAAGCCCTCCACCGCAGTACGACAGCTGTGTGGACACTAGTTTGAATCCCTCCGTTTTTGTCATATTTGAGAAAGATCAGATTTACCCAGAGTATGTGATTGAATATACTGAAGCAGACAAAGCCTGCGTGATCAGTTAGAACTGATGAATACAGTGTCCTAAGGATGCCATCGCCATTTTATTCTCTTACATAACCAAATTTCCCAGATAGTAGTTAAACTTTCATATTTCCTTGCCCAGTTATCTAATGTGTTAGGTCAGTGATTCCCAAACTTTGTTATACATTGGAATCATCCAGGAAGCTTTAAAAAAATTCCAGTGCCCAGGTTGCACCCCATGCCAATTAAATCACTATTTCTGAAGGTAGGTCGTATTTTTTAAAGCTTTCCTGATGATTCCAATGTGTTGGAAAGTTCGCATTGTTTTAGATGTAATTGGTAAAGGCTCATTTCTAAATTTTCTATAATTGCAGCTACATGTCTCCCATCTAATCATTTAGTGTACAGTGTGGCATGGTTTTTTGTTTTGGTTAAATTGAAAGAAAATTAATTTGGGAAATTTGAGAGAAATCTCACAATGCATATTGAAATAAGGACATAAGAAATGTCTTTCATCCTTGGATGAAAGATTGTGAACAACTGGGAAGGAAATGCTTGGGCACATGCTAGGGAAAAAGTGAAAAGTGAAATTTAAATGTTATTGTAGACATGGCTGCAGTACTGTACCTTACCTCTGTGATGAAACTGATTTGTGTCACACATTTCTTTATTGCTACACTTATTTGGGGGACAAACTCCATCCAGGTTGACTCCTTCTGTAATGCCAAGTGTGGCTCAGAGAGAAGCAACCAACTGGAGTTAATTGCCCATTTGGGCTCTTTATATAATTATGGGAAAGTAGACATTTTGTTGTAATTGATGTGATTACAGAGAAGGCTTTTATCAGGTCCGGCTTTCATGAAATCGTCTGTATTTTGAGGGAACAGAATTGCAGTAACCAAATTTACACAAGCATGACTGATAAATATTAGTGCTTTTATAGTTGTTTGCTGCAGCAGATGAGCCTCGCTAAGAAATTAGGAGCATCGCCATCCCTACTGAAGGACCGGCCTCCTAAGGACATGAGATTTGATTCCTGGTGAACATAGAATCAGAACTAGGAGAACAATGTCGTAAACCTTGTGCCTACTAAATATCTTTTATTTAATGTGACGAATTTCTAAATGTAGCGGATTGTATGGAATTGTAGTACAGTTTTTAGAGAAGGGGAGGTGCTTGGACCAATATCTCTTTCCTTATTATGAATCAGGTTTTTTCTTCCAATTTTCCTTTTCTAACATTCCTTACCAATTACTTGTCAACATTTCCTGTTATAGTTCCTTCCAGCAGACATGTCACAGATAATTAATTAGCATTAGAGTTGATTTTATATTAGGTAGATTTTGGACCAGTAGTACAAAGATCTCCACAATTCTTAGTTTAAAGGGCTCCATCAGTAACAAATGTATACAGATTTTTTTAGAGTAGGATTATTTTCTGGGAGTCTTGCCATAAATGGTTATTCTCAGTCATGTATTTTTTCATGGTATCATCCATTTTGGAGGGTTCATTTCCTGACCTTGACCCTCACACTGTAGAAGTGCATTTTATCCAACTCTTTCCAGCTGCCTGTTAGGCACCTGTAGGTGGATAGTTCACAGACATCATCGACTTTACACATCCAAGATGGAACTCTCAATCTGCCTCCCTCACACGTATCATTACCTATATTCTGTGTATAGGTAAATGCCACCATCCACCCATCCGCACAAGCAGAAATCCAGAAGTCACCCTTAACTCCTTGTTGTCCCTCAAATACACATCTGAACAGTTCCCAAATACACTTTTACCTCTTAAACGTTTCTTTTCCCTTCTAAGTTGTTCTTCTACACAAGCCACTGTGGCTTTCTTTCAGTCATGTGGCTCCTGTTTTTACCTAGTTCAGTAGTTCTCAATGAGCACTTTTGCCTTTTATTTTTATAAGGGCAATTACAAATACGTCTTCTTTATTATCCTCCAACTCCACTTCAGGTAACATGCTCTACCTATGCACAATTTTAGAAATAAGTGAAAAATTAAATAAAACTAATATTAACATAAAAGGGAAATAAACGGTATATAACCTGGGGACAACTATGCTAGAAGATCTAATGAAGTAGTCAGATGTTTACACCTAGTTATAATGAATAAATTTGAACTTAAAAGAAGGTAGGAGATCAGAAACTAGTTTGTGCAAAGAAGCATGAGAAAATGAAAAAGCAGAGATATGAGTGGACATCAGAATAAAAACTAGGAATATAACAACTTACTTGCATATAATAATATTTATTTGTATATGATAAGAGACAGACTGAAGTTACCTTAAATTAAAATACAGATAGTATGCAAGAAAATTTACAGATTGCCGAAGTGGAGAAAATGAGGAAATATTATATTCTTGCAGACGAGCTGTCGTCATACATGAATGTCTTGTGAGACATTCAAAATTCGTGTAGGGTGCAAAATAATTTCTTATTGTGAGGAACTGTCCAATGTATTGCAAGATGTTCAGCATACTTGGCTCTCACATGCTAAATGCCAGTAGCACCCCCGTCCCCACCCCCAATCATGGTGATAACCACAAACACCGTCAGACCTATTCAACCTTTGTAGAGGAGATAGTTTGTAACATCCTCTTTGCTGTCCTGATATATTCATAAATGATAAAATCTACTTACACACATGAATTTCTTTAAAAATCAATGTAATGCCTTAACTCTATTATAATGGAGAAATAGAAGGTAAGAAATTTGTAATGAAAATAAAATGAATCTCAATATGTAAATGCACAGGCATGACTATGCCATGTAAGACCTGAAATAGATTTACTTACAATGAATAGGTTTGGATTTAAGAGCCGATCAGAGGCTGCCTCCTGTGAGGAAGTACAGGAATATGAATGATTAGAGGTACGGAGGACACTAGAAATAAAACTAGTTATTAGGATAAGTCACAACATACCATATACCTTATCTGTATATGGCAAAGGAAATAAGAAAATTTCCTTACTTGAAATAAGAATAATAGGACAAAACCAATTACAGGTTGTCTCAGAGGAAACAAATCAATGAAACTCTCTCAGACAAGCTGTAGGGTCCTACATAAATGTCCAGCAGGACATTAGAAAGTCGTTTGGGGTTCAGAATAATTCTTCGTTGTGTGGGACAAACCCCTCTGCAGAACATCTCTTGTCCCTGCAGCACCCGCTCAATGCCGGTAATAGTCCCCCACCGTGATGGGAGCACCACCAACCCCTCAATCTCCTAAATACCATCGGGAGAACCACTGACCTAGTTGATGTGTACCACCCTCAGATTAGGCAAACTGTTATCTGTGAAGAAATAGAAAAACTTAAACCATTGTGTTTTGTACTTTACACCTTGCTTTGTTCATTTTAAGTATCTATCCAACCTGAAATTTTCTGCTGTTTGCATGGGAATGCAAGCTTCTGAAGGGCAAAGCTGTTTTGTCCACTGTGCCACGCCTGATGCCCAGGCTTGCTGATCCATTGGCTAACTCTGTTGAATAAATTAAGCTCACCTCTGTATATTTCAGTTGAGTTGTATTGCTTCTTGTTATTCACCTGAATTTGAACTAATAAAAAGAAAGAATGAAGTTTGTTCTGCCTCCTTTATTTGCTCTATTTCTAGGTATCTCCAAAAAGATCATCAACGGCAGACACCAGTGTGTGCAGCAGGGGGGAGATGATGTGTTTCCCATCCAGCTTTATCATTCCAAGCTTCCATGACCAAGTAGCCTTTATAGCAGAGCGCCAGGGCCGGGCAAGGTGGTGCTGATGGAGACGCCTACAGTGGGTTGGCACATCTTTTGTCTGGGGACTCAGGCAGGGAAGGGCTGGAAGCTGAAGCTGCTCACACCTTTCTTCCTCTGGTCCCACAGGTGGGAACAGGGCCAGGCTGAGGCACAAAAATTAAAAATGTAAATAGTTATCCACAGAATCATCCCATCTGCCACTCCTTCAAAAGCTCTTCTCCATTCATTCTTTTTTAATCACAAAGATTTGGGTGGAGAGAGAGTGAAGGGGGAGAGGGAAATGGAGAGACAGATTAGATCTCCATGTGGCAGCATGCACATTTGATAAAGTGAAGGTAAAACTGCTTTTGATGGAGACCTCAACATATTAATAAATAAAGTAAGGTACAGCAAACCTGATGGCTGCCAAGGCATTCCCATTCAAATACATGAAAATGGTATCAAACCAAGGTATTTGAGGTTTTTTCCATGTGTTTGTCTTAGTGCTCCCAAGAAAATCTGCCATTATCTGGTTTCTAGGGGGACTCCTCAGTTCAACATTTGGTGGAAGCATAGCTCCCGTGTTTCCCCGAAAATAAGACCTACCCGTAAAATAAGCCCTAGCAGGATTTCTAAGCATTTGCATAATATAAGCTCCACCCCGAAAATAAGACTGAGTGACAGGCATGGCTACACAGCGTATCTGCACAACCCAGGCATTTTGTTGCAGAGCGGTAAAGAAGATGAGCAGCCCTTCTCATCTGCCCCATCATGACAGCTACTATCCCAGAGGTGACAGGAAAGGTGTGGGCAGCCCCACCAACAAGGTTGGCTCCACCTGTCAGGTCCCGACCATCCTGTGCGTGCTGCAAGCTGAGGCTTTGAGGGGAAAATAACACATCCCCTGAAAATAAGCCCTAGGGTGTCTTCTTGAGGAAAAATAAATATAAGACCCTGTCTTCTTTTTGGGGAAACATGGTAGATAGCAGCCACTTCCCAGTCTTACCTTAAGCTACTGTGAAGATAATGACCATGAAAGGCAAAGCTTAGTTGAGTGCTAAGTGTGTGGCTGGGGCCACCAGAGCGATGTTCTGGGATGTGGCTTGGAAAGGGTGCAGGGGATAACAGGCAGGTTTCATTTAGGGGGTTAACAGAGTGGATGAATTTATAGCAGTTTTAACAGTATAGTCCTGGAGTGACTTTTTCAAAAGCCTGTGCTACAGCCATGTGCCTGAGTGGCCATCAGCTTGAGAATGAGCTTCAGAATCCAAGTGGGAGGACACATCAGAACTTTCTAGGAACTGCTTACGTCCTAAAAGCTCCAGTCCTAAAATACCCCAATTTCAACCTCCTGCTGCTCTTTTCCATTCACCTGTGTACCTGCCTGACATCTAATATCTCCCTGTTCTTCCCAAAACTCCACATTGCTTAGTATTTTGCTCCAGGGTCTTTCCGTTTTCCCCTCTACACCCTTTCCCGTGAAAGGGCCCATTTATTCCCAGACTGTCACACACTTCTGATTCCAGGCTCTGTACCTCCGCTAAGGAGTCAAATAACTTGCGCAGGGCGTCATGGCTAACGAGTAACAACAGAACCAAGACTGTGAACTCCATAGCCCCACTGCAGAGCCCGCAGGTCCGGCACAGGTCTGTGGGGACAGTCTACCTCTGCACACCCCTCCCCGCCTGTCCCCTGTGAACTCCTGCGAGCACTCCTGGCCTCTTCTCCACTCTGGCCCAGCCTTCCACCCCACTCTGAATCCCCACCCGCTCTTTGTTCTTGTCACAGACAAGCCACCCAACGCAACACCCCTAGCATTACATGCCTTTAGCCTTTCTTGTCATCAACTCACTATTCCAGGCATCCACACCCACTGCTCCACCGTCATCAGTCACACTTGCTCCAGAGCTGCTCCTTCTGAAATCTTTCTTTCTTTCTTTCTTTTTTTTAAGAGACGGAGTCTCACTCTGTTACCCAGACTGGAGTGCAGTGGCATCATCATAGCTCACCGCACCTCGAACTCCTGGGCCCAAGCGATCCTCCCACCTCAGCCTCCCAAGTAGCTGGGACTACAGGTTTGCCTCACCACACCCAGCTAATTTTTTTTTGTAGAGACAGGGTCTTGCTATGTTGCCCAGGCTTGTCTCAAACTCCTAGGCTCAACGTGATCTCTCCTCCTTAGCCTCGCAAAGTGCTAGGATTACCCGTGTGAGCCATCCCCCCAGGCCTCTTTTTGAAATCTTAAACTTCTCTATTCTACCTGTGACAACAGCCTGCCTTTTACTATTTTGCATCCCTACATCTACTTTATCCGCTCACATTTGGCCCTTCCTATCTTCATGCCTCCTTTGTCAGCCCCTGATCACTCTTTCACTTTTTTTTTCTTTCTACTAAATGATCTGTTTATTTAGCACATTTGTGGTATTTTTAGGAAGAGTGACAGCAAATTGATTCATAATTATCATGCATTCTGGAACAATCCCCAAATGCTCTTTCTCATTGATATCCTTGCCAGATCTTTGACATTTTTCTTGTTGTGTTGCCTGGTAAGGTGCTTCATAAATAATAGATGCTCTGTAGTTTTTCTAAGCTGATAATCATGATGATATGATGATGAAGATGACAATACTTTAATTGGCCAACTTCTTAATTCATTTCCCTTAAACATGTTTTAGACCTCAATCTTCATGAACTACTTTGATAGCCAATGTTCAGCAGAGGAAGGAACGGGAATCCAGATCCCTGGGCACTGGGGAATCTGGATTCTGTGCCCTTGGTTAACAGCCTGGATCCATCCAAATGACGTCTCTTGGTTCCCTCATGTGTAAAGTGAAGGGGTGGATTGTAAAGCAATGGACACCAACTGCGATGCCTATAGGTGTCAGGACGCACAGTGAATGAGTGTAGCCCACCAAATTACCATTCTTTTTTCGTATATTTTCAGCTTTTCCTTCTTATTGGCTCTTTCACTCAGCATCTAATTATGCTCATCTTTCCTGTAATAGTATAACATACCTCCCTCCACCTTGTCTCTTCCTCTAATTATCATTTTATCATCACCTTATTGATTTTAAGAAGTAGTCTATAATCCCTGGACTTTTCTATTCTTCATCTTTTTTGTAACCTACAGAAATCTGCCTTTCCTCGTTATCCCTCTGCTGAGGTCATCAATGCCCTTGTAGGATTAACTCCTCCCTATAGTCTTTCACACATTAACTGCATGTGAGTTGTATTTAACTCACGTTAGTTTTGAGCCCAGGGCCTCATGAAGCATATGTAACTCACACGTCTCTTCACCTTGGGAGCCAAGTGGTGTGCAGGCAACTCCTGCTGTAGCGTACACTTTAGCATACATGTGACGTGATGAGTGACCCCCTGGGCAAAATCCTGAAGTTGCTTCGTGACACTTGTTGACGTTCCTATTGTTACAATTAACATTGACAATTTAATGGCACATAACTCAAGCACAGAAAACAATAAAAAATAACAAATTTTTCATTAAATTATAAAGGATTGTTTTGTTTTCAAAGTTTTTATTCTATTTTTGTAATAGAACACCATGGCCAAAAGGAAAAATTTTTTCTTTCTAGTGTGGCAGTCAATTGTGCTAAGCATGCTAACCAGTGCCTCTTTGGGGAGGCAAAACAGGGAAAGGAAGAAAGACAGTACAGGGTGTGCGGATGAGCAGGTCGGGCACTGTCGTTCAATTCCACCAAGGAACCACTGGGAGACCATGGACTGTACCTCCTAGTTGTTCCACCAAAGGAATAATGAGCTGGGATATTTATCTACTCATGGGAAGGCAAAACTTTCTGTACTCTCTTAGGTTCAGTGTCTGGGGGCCTGCAAATGTAACTGACAACAGAAGAAAAAAACCAAAGTTTATTCACATGCACATGGGAGAAAACAGAAGAAGCGACTTCGTAAATAGGTAAAGATGAGGATTTCTATACCTAACTTACTAAGGAAGAGGGAGGGAAGCAAAAAAGGCTTCTGTGGAAAGAATAAATGGGTTTCCAGGGGAACAAATGGGAGATAAGAAGTTGGCGATAAGGGTGTTTATGCAGGCACTAGTGTTCTTCTCCATTTTCATTTCATGGTATAAACCCCTAGCGGATGTATGGCAGCCTCACCTCCAGGGTGTCTGCTCTAGTGAAATAAAGGAAGCTCCGAGAAGGCTTCTTTCTGCATCTGTTGAATCTTAAATATCTTCGGTTTAAAATAATCCTCATATCAACTGTAGAGATCTGAGTGGATCCCCACACTGCCATTACTGGTAGGTTGAGGGCTCTTCCTGGAGGCGTTAACTCCTTGGTCATTCAGGCCTGCCTCTGTTGCTGGCCTGATCTCTCCTGCTGGAAAAAGACCTTAGGCAGAGAGCCCAGGTACAGATGCTGAGTGCCAAGGGGATATAAGCTATCACTAATTTCCTTCAGATTGTTCTCTTCTTCTACCTGCTTCTTTTTTTTTTTTTTTTTTTTTTTTTTTTTTTTTTTTGAGACAGAGTCTCACTTTGTTGCCCAGGCTAGAGTGAGTGCCGTGGCGTCAGCCTAGCTCACAGCAACCTCAAACTCCTGGGCTCAAGCGATCCTTCTGCCTCAGCCTCCCGAGTAGCTGGGACTACAGGCATGCACCACCACGCCCGGCTAATTTTTTTGTATATATATTAGTTGGCCAATTAATTTGTTTCTATTTATAGTAGAGACGGGGTCTCGCTCTTGCTCAGGTTGGTTTCGAACTCCTGAACTCAAAGGATCCGCCCGCCTCGGCCTCCCAGAGAGCTAGCTACCTGCTTCTTTAATGTTGGTATCCCCAAGGTCCTATCCTTCTACCTCTGCTTTTCACACTCTTCACTGTTGATAAGGTGACCATATCGACTTTCACAGTGTCAGTTACCTAATACTCTGATGTCACTCAGACTTATATCCTTTCCCTGCTCATCTCCCTTAAGGTCTAGACCTGAACATATAATACAACTATCCATTGAGCATCTCACCTTGGATTGTCCACTGCAAACTCAACACAAGAAAAATTGGGTTTATAGTTCCCCCAAATCCTGCTTCTCTTCTATTATTCCCTCTATTTTCTCACTTTTCTAGAAATCCATTATTCTTATTGCTGCTGGAGATTTTTCTAAAATACCTACCCTACAATATGGCCAGACACTGTTTTAGGTGATGAGGATACAGCAGTGAACAAGACGAACAAGATTCCTGCTTTCATGAGACTGAGTTCTACAGGTAAATATATAAATAAACGAGAAAGAAGAAAACTATCAGTGATAAGTTCCATGCAGAGACCAGGGAGCTGCTTTCGATTGGGAGGTCAGGAAAGGCCTTGCTGAAAAGAAGACATTGAAGCTCAGGGCTGAATGACCCAAAGAAGACGTCCAAGCAAAGATCAGGGGGAAAGTCTTCTAGACAGAGGGACTGTGTCACTCCTCAGCTGAAAATCCTTCAGTGCTTCTCAAAGTCCTCAGGATATAAGTACAAAATTCTTAGCACAGCAGAGAAGGTCTTCAGCATCTGGCCAATTGCCTTCCTCTCCAGCTTCTTTACATGACATGACATTAATGCGTTTAATGCTCACAAGAACCTTGTAAGATAGCACCCAGGCTGGCTGAGTTCCCCCAATGGTCTCATTCATCTTTGTACTGCCAGTGAATTAGCAGTTGGCTCACTAAATGTTCATTAAACGAGCAAGGTGTTGGGCAAAAGAGATAGATGTTCAACAGCTGAACAAGTCTAGGCCAGTGCTGTCCAACAGACATATAAGGTAAACCACATCTGTAATTGAAAGTTTTCTCATAGCTACGTTAGGAAAGTAAAAGCAACAGATGAAACTGTCATAGCATTTTATTTAAGCAAATATATTCAAAAGATTATCAGTTTAACATGTGATTCATATAAAATTATTAATGAGATATTTTATATTTTCCTTTCATTCTCAATCCTCGAAATCCCCTGTGTGTATCTCACATTTGCATCACCTCTCAATTTGGACTAGCCACATTTTGTCAGTGCTCATGGTCACCTCCTCAGAGGCGACCCCCAGCAACCACCAAAAGCAGCCCGGCCATTCACCTCCAACCACCTCCCCTATTTTCTCTTCTTGGCGGCGCTTACCAGTACTTCCAATTACCTTATTTGCTAGCGGGTCTTCTGTGATTCCCGAGCACACAAGCCCCTCAAGGCCTGGGCTAACTCGGAACGGTGCCTGGGAGGAGCAGGCACTCAATAAATGCTCCATGTTCCGTGCGCGACCACAGGCCCCAGGCCCTGCTCCCAGCGCGGGGCGGCCCCTCGCCCTGCCTCCCCAGGCCCACCCCTTCCCACCCCTTCCCCAGGCCCGTCCCCGGGATGCCGGCTGGGAACCGAGGACGTGACGGGGAGGAGCCAGGCCGCCCGCTCCCCGCGCTCAGGGCCCGGCCGCCGCCATGGCGGAGCCCACGGTGTGCTCCTTCCTCACCAAGGTGCTGTGCGCCAACGGCGGCCGCATGTTCCTGCAGGACCTGCGCGGCCACGTGGAGCTGTCGGAGGCCAAGCTGCGGGACGTGCTGCAGCGGGCCGGGCCCGACCGCTTCCTGCTGCAGGAGGTGGAGATGAAGGAGGGCCTCTGGGACGCCGAGGCCGAGGTGGCGGCCGGCGCGGGCGGCGCGGGCGGGAGCGGGGGCGCGGCGGCCTGCAGGGTGGTGGCCGTGTCCTCCGCGCGCCTCTGCGCCCGCTACCAGCGCGGCGAGTGCCGGGCCTGCGACCAGCTGCACCTCTGCCGCCGGCACATGCTGGGCAAGTGCCCGCACCGGGACTGCTGGTGAGCGGGCGGGCGGCGGGCGACGGCGCGATACGGGCGCGGGCCGCGGGCCTGGCCTCCCGCCGAGGGCGGGCGCCACGAGGGATAAGAAGGGGGGCGCGCGTCCGGGCCCCCCCGCCCCCCGCGCTCTGTGCCACAGGCGGAACGAGGCCGGAGGTCCCCTTCACCACCGCACCCTCCCCCCGCCCCCCTACCAGAAAAGCTGCTGCTCCTGTCCCCGGATCCGGTTAAATCCGGGTTGGGACTTTTGAGTTCACTCACTCCCGTGGTATTTTGGGGACATCTGAGGATCCCATGAGATCTACTGTGGACCCTTATCGGGCGACTGCCCGTTTCCACATAACCACACGGTTCTCCCGAAGCGGGTCTGTGCCCGCTGGGTTTAACCACCCTGAGCTAGGCTGACCCCCTGGGAAACTGAGGGCTGGATGGTGCGGGCGAGGTCTTGGGGCTGGTGACTGCCAGGCTGGGGTGTGGGGCTGCCTCCGGACTCGTCGGCTGTGCTCCACATCGTCCTTGGCTGATTCTAGCCACACACACATCCCACACACAAAGTGGGGCCGGGTTGGGCACTTTCTTTTTCACATTGGCGGACTGTGGGGGTGCGCAGCTGTTGGGGGTAGAGAGAAGGCCAAGTGCAGTCACCTACTGCCAGATTCCCATGCTCAAGGCCGTGATTGGTGGTGGGGTGTCCTTGGCTTTAAGCAGCCTCACTGAAAATGACCCTGAGAAAAACTGCTTCATCCCAACTTTCTTATTATTTATCAGTGCCTGTTAGGCTGTAGTATCCATGGCTTCTCCAGAATTAACTTCACATGTAAGTTGAAAGCTGCCCAAGGCGAGCAATTTGACAGACTGGCCCATCACCTGGGTTTCTGACCTAGAGCTTTGTTCTCCTAGGTCTACCTGTACCCTCTCCCATGATATCCACATGCCTGTCAACATCCAAGTGCTGAAAAACCAGGGACTTTTTGGCCTTAATGAAGCCCAGCTTCGGATCTTGCTTTTGCAGAATGACCCCTGCCTTTTACCAGAGGTGAGTTACCAAGGAGTCACCCTCATATTGTCACATTCGTTACAAGTATTGTTCCCTATATACCTTTTTGGCTTTTGATCGCTGCATCAACATGATTCAGTTTCAAATACTTAAAAAGTACCTGTTGCTGTTATGGCGAAATTATCATGTTTGTTTCAGTTTAGCAATACACAAAGAATTTTTTAATTCAAAATAGTAGGAATGCCAAGAGAGAATATTATAAGAGCACCTATTAAAAGCAGAATTTGCTAATCTAGCACAAAGATTCTATCATAGACACTCCCACTTTGCCAGAAGAGGGTCAGAGAGAAAGGATGATGTTGGGAAGACAGAGGGCAGTTCTTAATTGTGGCCTGATTTTAACTGTAAGGTATTTCAGGGTGTAGAAGGGAAGAAAGTCACAAGGCTGGAGGTATGAGCTTTGGTGCAGGTGGCAGAGGCCACCCTCGAGGCAGCAGAATCTGTACCCAGAAGGCAGTCCTGGAGTTGGTCTTGGGAGCCAGCAGGATTCTTCCTGACATCCATCTCCTTTTTCATTCCTTAAGCTCTGAAGCCAGGTCTGGTATGTCATGGTTGTGAGCCAAATGCATTTCCACCAGCTATGTTGCTGAAAGTAGATCCAAGCAGCAGCTGGTACAGATTCTTGGGAGGAAGGATGAGGAGGATGGCAACAGCTCTCAGGCTGGGTCCAGTCCTTTCTCTCTCAGAGAGAAGGGGTACTGCAACTGCCATTTGCCTTTTATTTTTATTTACTTATTTATTTTTATTATTTTTTTTTTTAGAGATGGGGTCTCTCTCTGTCACACAGGCTAGAGTGCAGTGGCGCCATGATAGCTCACGATAGCTTTGAACTCTTGGGTTTAAGTGATCCTCCTGCCTCAGCCTCCTAAGCAGCTTAGACTACAGGCATGCGCCACCATGCCCTTGCCTTTTAATTTTATAGTACTCTTTGATTTATAGAAGCTTTAATGTTTTTATGTTGTCAAACCTATTGAATCTTTTGTTTTGTGGCTTCTACTTGGATAGCCCAGGCCCAGGCTCATCTTGTCCTCTTAGACTACTTCAGTGTTCTGTGAGCAGCCAGTGGGTTGGCTGCACTTATGACAGGAGCCCACCCCTGGCCCCATCAGCTGGGACTGGAGGTGTGTGCCATGTGGCCCAAAACATAGCCACACAGATAGACAGCAGGGACCACAGACAGGCACAGTGGATGAGATAAGAATGGTGCCTCACGTCTCTTGTATGCAAATGCCTGATGATTCCTTTCACCACTCTCCCAAAGATACAGTTCATAATACAGACACACTACCCACCAAAAAAAGATATTAGGAGATAATTTTGTAAAATTTTATAAAATTTTGTAAAATTTGAAAACTTATATGAAATGGACACATTTCTAGAAAACTACAGCTCATTAAAATTGATTGTAGAAGAAAATAGAAAGCCAGAATAGCCATATGAATTTTTTTAAAAATAAAAACATTAAACAAACAATTAGCCAGGTGTGGTGGCAGGAGCCTGTAGTCCCAGCTACTCCAGAGGCTGAGGCAGGGGGATCACTTGAGCCCAGCAGTTTGAGGTATGATGAGACCACTGCACTCCAGCCTGGGCAACAGAATGAGACCCTTTCTCTAAACAAACAAACAACAACAACAACAAAAACCAATTAAATTCCAAAGCATTAGTTAAAAGTGTTCTACAAGAAAACATTGGGTTTGTTTTTTGTTTTTTGTTTTTTTTGAGACAGAGTCTCACTCTGTTGCCTAGGCTAGAGTGAGTGCCGTGACGACAGCCTAGCTCAAAGCAACCTCAAACTCCTGGGCTCAAGCAATCCTCCTGCCTCAGCCTCCCGAGTAGCTGGGACTACAGGCATGCGCCACCATGCCCGGCTAATTTTCTTTTTCTATATATTTTTAGTTGTCTGACTAAGTTCTTTCTGTTTTTAGTAGAGACGGGGTCTTTCTCTTGCTCAGGCTGGTCTCAAACTCCTGACCTCCATCAATCCTCCTGCCTCAGCCTCCCAGAGTGCTAGGATTACAGGCGTAGCCACTGTGCCCGGCCTACTTTTCATTTTCATTTTTTTTTTAATTTAATCAATTCTTGTTTCCTTTTTCAGATAAACTTTAGATTTATTTACATTTCTAAAACTATTTTATAGGAATTCTTTGAAGGGGATAGGAATTACATTAAAATTATGATTTCATTTTAGAAAATTGGCACCACAACTAGAATGCTTTTTTGTTTTAAACCAGGTCATCTGTCTCCAGTAGCATTTCCCACATTTTTGATTTGACTGATTATGGTCTTACCGTTTAACATCCTTTATCCCTTGAATTTTCTGTAAACTGATAGTTAGATCTGGAGGTTTGATCAGATTTAGGATTGATTTTATAACAAGACTTTTTTTTTTTCTTTTTAATGTGTGATGCATGTTAGAGTGACTAACCGTCCCCATTTACCTTGGACAGAGGGGTGTCCTGGGATGTCAGACTCCCGTGGTCAAACCTGGACAGTGGCAGCTCCTGTTGCATCACATCAGGGGGCATGTAATGTCTTGTCGTCTTTTTGTGCATGTGTGGTTAAGACTGATGAGTGGTTTCAGGATTGCTAGCCTGATCCATCGTTAGAAAGCTCCCATCAGTGTGGTCTTGGTTTGTCTGGGACAGACCCACTTTTCATTAGTCATCTCGGTGTAGCTATAATAGTGCTCCCTTGCACTCTAAAAGATGCTCTTGTCTGGATCTCAAATTATGTGTTTGTGTTACCTGTCGAGTTGGTTTCTCTGAAAGCAGAGCCTGAGGTGGAGACTCAGGTGCATGTGATTTATTGAGGGTGGGCTTTTCGGGAAAACTCTGAGAGAGGGAAGCAGGATATAGGAAAGGAAAAGCTACAAGTAACATAAAGTTCAGCCTTGACTTGATGTGTAGGGGGCTGTGGAACAAAACTTATGCAACGCAAGGGGGCCAGCCTTTTGTATCTCCACCTAAGTCACTCAGTGGCTATATGCTTTGGGGAGGAGGGCAGGTCAGCTGAGCATCTAAGGTGTCTAAGGTAAGAGGGGCGGCTGTGAGTTGGTAGCAGCAAACACAGCGGCTGGGGCACGCTCCGCACTGTCACACTCCCCGTCAGGCATTCACCCCAAAATTTCAACAGCCATCGATGATCAGAGGATGCTATTTAGTCTTCATTTTAGCTAGAGAAGCTGTAAAAGATACAGCGAAAACTAATATTTCAAGTGTTGCCTCTTTCCTGTACCAGGTCTGTTTGCTCTACAACAAAGGCGAAGCCCTCTATGGGTACTGCAACCTCAAGGATAAATGCAACAAGTTTCACGTGTGCAAAGCCTTTGTCAGGGGAGAGTGCAAACTTCAGACCTGCAAACGATCCCATCAGCTCATTCATGCTACAGCCTTGAAGTTGCTGCAGGACCAAGGACTGAATATCCCAAGTGTTGTTAATTTTCAGATAATCGCTACCTACAAGCATATGAAGTTGCACAAGATGCTTGAAAATAAAGGTAGGGGTATCAGAGGTAGACAAAACACCGTCAATGAATGATACAGTTTTGAGGTTCTTCGCTGTAAAGAAATAAGAACAGTGAGAACAGTCACATGAAAGTGAGTGTGGGGAAAAAATCACTTCATATGTTAATCGTGGCATTGTCCTTGGGAAAGCTTAGAGCAGTCAGCATCTTAGGATGTAGAACTGCCATTCGAACCAAAAGTGGGAAGGGAAGTTTATTTTCATCCCTGCCACTGCCAGCTAATAGAATCTGCCCAAGTGTTTGAACAGTATAGCTCCTTGTTAAGTTGGGGTTCATGAAGCTGGAAGAACACACTTAACAGGTTGGTTATAAAAAAGAGGAGGAAGATGGGCCATTGACTGGAAAAGCAAGGATAACATAGAGATGGCTTCCTTTTATTAAATGCAATTAAAGGTTTTCCTTTTATTAATTTTTTAAGTAATTTTAACCATATTACAGGAGTATTTGGGAAATAGACTAGAAATAAAAATTGCATATGATTCTGCTCACTCCAATCTACAATACTCATTAACATTTTATAATAGGCCTTTCAGTTCTGTTATATGCAACTACTAATCCAGCTGTGCTCAAAGTACACATTAGTATTTTACATTTTCACTTTATACAACATTATAAATATCTTCCCATATTGCTGCATAGTCTCTTGAACATTTTAAGAAGTCTACAAAGTATGGTTGGGTGTTCTTTTAATTTCAATGCATTCCCTTTCCTTATTCTATTAGATTTGTTTGTAGCTGAAAGTCAGTGGATGGTGGGCTTAGAATTACTGTTGGGAAACCACGTACCAGAGCCAGAGTCTCTAAGCTTTTAACAGAGTTTTCATATGTTAGTGTCAGACTTAATGAGTTTGCAGATAGGGAGGCTTTGCATATACCAGTGTTAGAGGCTGTCCAGGGAACCCTGCGTGGTGGCAGGGACCTTCTACTCTATGCTATGTCCAGAGTCTGTCATTATCTTCATCTGGTCTTGTTTAGTGAGTCTCTCCTAACTATGAAATAATGACTTTCTGCTTGCTATTGATATACACACATACGTACACAGACATATATAGCTCAGTCTCTCTTGCTGTCTCTCTCTCTCTCTCTCTCTCTCTCTCTCTATATATATATATATATATATATATATATATATATGTATATATGATTATACACACGCACACATAATTTTTTTAATCCACAGGACATGAACTCTCCAAATCCAGGGTGTTGGGAGTCTTGTCTGAGGTCTAGTTCGGCTGGGTTATTGCTCCCAACATAAAATGAAACTTGGGGTGCCTTAGGAAAACTTATCCTTTCTTCTTTTTAGATAACTCGGCGTCTGCAACTGAGCACTCACAGAGCCTTGAGAAACCAGGTGCACACGCAGCCGGGGCTGCAGATGCCAGCCCTCTGGCTTCTGCCCCTGCTCAGGCAGCCAAGAAGCCCTGCCCAGGTAAACCTTAAAGAGGGTTAGTGAACTAAGAAGAAGCTTGTCCAGCTTGGAAGATCTGAAAACAAGACTTCTTTTGAGCTTTAATAACCATTCATTGTAACCATTCATTCCTTTAATCATTTATTCATAATGGTCATAATAATATCTACCTCACAGTGTGTTGTGAGAAGAAGAGATGGGAAGAGAACAAATGTCAGGCTTGGAGGATAACGTTGGGGTTGAGGTTGGACCTTGAGCTGGCAAAGGGAGGGGAAAGCTGAGTGCAGATGGGGTCAGTCCAGGACAAGTCCCGGACATGGCAGCTTCCACCTGCAGTTCTGAGCGCTTGCCCCAGACTGGGTGGATAGAGCTTTTCAGGGGAGTTTTTCCTGACTTCTGTGGTCCAGCCAGTGGTTTTCTATATGCCCATAAATACAGTTTACATAGTGGTAATCTAGAGAATGTACACTTTTTACGCATTTTTTTTACTTAATGTTTCATAAGCATCTTTCCATATTTATTCACATTATCATATATAATCATTTTTTTGCACAGATACATTAATATATCATAGTATATTTAACTACTTATTCTGGGATATTTCAGTTCTTTCTAACAAAGTTTGAATATAATTCATTTCTTAAAATCTGTACAATATTGAATTTTTAAAGCTATTCTTTACGTTTGCTCAGCTTATAGGTGCTAAATGATACTGTCTTCTGCGTTTTTTAAAAATACATATGTGAGCGAGTAATTTTCTGTGTATCTGCTTTCCGTATGTCTTTGTCATTTTATACATGGCCTTTTATTAATGGGGACCTTCTGTATGCAGATGTGGGTGGCCTTTAATGAGGCTCCTTAATTTTCATAAGAGGATATCAGCCATACTGTGCTCAGAGGATATCCAATTTCTGTAGATCCAGCTCAGCTGACACAGCAGAGCATATAACCTTTGGGTTCTCACCAGAGATTTCTACCTCACTCTGTCTACTTTTCATCTCTCATTGAACTTTTTTTTTGAGACAGAGTCTCACTCCCGTTGCCTTGGCTAGAGTGCCGTGGCGTCAGCCTAGCTCACAGCAACCTCAAACTCCTGGGCTCAAGCGATCCTGCTGTCTCAGCCTCCTGAGTAGCTGGGACTACAGGCATGCACCACCATGCCCAGCTAATTTTTTATACATACATTTTTAGTTGTCCAGATAATTTCTTTCTATTTTTTTAGTAGAGATGGGGTCTCGCTCTTGCTCAGGCTGGTGTTGAACTCCTGAGCTCAAATAATCGGCCCTTCTCGGCCTTCAGAGTGCTAGGATTACAGGCGTGAGCCACTGCGCCCGGCCTCTCATTGAACTTTTACCAAAGCCCAAATGCTACAATTTGAAGGATGTGTGGTTTTTCCGTTCCTCTATATTGAATGCATCTTTCCGTGGATCAAGATGGCCCACTAGAAGTCTGTGTACCTCGCCCATTTCGTGTGGACTCTCCCGTCTCCCTTCTCTCCTCCTCCCTGCTCTCTTCCCACCCATCGTGATATTTTCTTGTTTGTTTTCTTCAAGGGGTACCACAAGAAAGCAGCTTTATGGAATCCTTGGCTCTGCTTATTGTAGTAATATTCCCAAATGTCATGGTGTAATGTGTTTGTTTTTTTAAAATTTAACTGTCCTGCAGTAACACCACATTTGAGAAATAGGGACAATGTAATGAGTTTTCATAAAGCTACATTAATTTAGAAAAGTTTTTTTTAAAAATCATGAAATGCTATCTTTTTGATTGGGGAGAATGCAAAAGTGACCTTTTTAAAGTGAAAAATTGCTGTGTTTTCTCGAAACGAACAATAGAAGTCATGTAACTTGTGTTAATCTTTTTACTTTGGTTGTCGACAGTAGTATATCTGAAAGCCCTTATTTTCTGCATATTTTATTTCTTTTTTTCTAGCTCTGATTTCTCCTGGTGCTAATTTTTTAAAAAATATTTTTGCTTTTAATTATTATTATTATTTACACTTTATCATTTTACTATGTATATTTTTGTAGTAAGCCATCTTTTTTGTTTGTTTGTTTATTTTGTAGTAAGCTATCTTAAATCCTCAATGGAAACAGAGCAGGGTATAAATGTGTACCCCTTACATTGAGAGACCTGGTGGATGTTTACATTTTTTCTGTTCTTTTTATGTATCTTACAATTATGCTTTTATATATGAAGTTATTGACCCTCTGTAATCTTGGTTGCAATATTTTATTCAATTCTATAATATTCCATTTTAATCTTAGTTCTGTTGGTATTCATTCTGCAAAAATATTTTACATAATTACACCTGTCTCTCTTATTTTCGTCTCAGGATTCAGCTGTTAGAGAGTTTTCATCACATTACAGCTGGAGATGAGTTTTCTTTGGTAATTTATTGGTGCTTATGAGATAAAGCCACATGTCTATAGACTCCACAAATTCAACATATCCTAAATTGAATGATTCATTTTCCTCCAGTCTTGTTCTTCCTTGTATTTCCTTATCTTTTAATGTCATTACCATCTATCTACCTAATGACATAAACCAAAAAACTGCAAATTTTCCTGTACTGTTCTTGTTCCCTGTATCACATGCTCCCTCAAAACCTCTCGATGTTTATCCCTCTCTGCCCTTTTCTTTCCCTCCCCTACACACTGCCTGGTTTCAAACCCTCCTCACCGCCGCGTGTATTTCACGGATGCAGAACTCAGCGGTTTTCAAGTTGTGTTGTGGGAGTTTTTGTAGGAGGTGCCAGGTTTATTGTAGGAAGTGCCCGGTCCCACTTCAGTGATGGTAGCCCTATTTTAATTTTTAGCATAATAGGATTTTGTGGATTTCACTGGTCTCCTGACCACTCTTCTCCTGCTTTCCATTTGGCTGCCTGGTTGAGCGTTTGAAAACAGACCTAATGGTATTGTTCTTTATTTTGGCTAAAACCTTTATTGATTCTCATTATGTAGGGTGGAAGTCACAAACTCAGATGCTTTCGGGAACTGGAAGGGTGACTTAAAAGTTTGGAGAGGACTGGATGCCAGAGGAATGGGACTAGGGAGGAAGTGCTGTGGCAATTGGTCCCATCTGAAAGGGGCGCCTGCCTCTGGTTTCTGTGTGGGAAGGTGGCCCCGTTTCTCATATTGTCCAGTTTTTTTTTTTAAAAGAAGCCAGAAATCTAGATTTTTATGAGAGATTTTCTGATTTTTATTAATAAATAGGGACTTTTGAGTTTTTGAGATGCAAGCCAATCAAGTAGGTACTTGACCTGCTTCAAATTTTTGGGATGTGTGTGCCTTTTTGCCTTGTGATTCTCTATATTTGTAAATGATGTTCCCTCTTCACAAGTGCCTTTCCTTCTTCCTTCCTCCTGCTTCAAAACCTGCCAAAATTCAATTCTTCAAAATGCCAGGTTGGCCTTTCCTGACCTCAAGAGAGGCAGCTCGTGCAGCATTCTTAGAGTGCTGGCATTGTACTTAGTACACTGCATTGCAGTGCTTTGTGTTTTTATTCCCTGGCTTTGAGCGAAAACATTATTTATTCTTCTTGGTAATTCTAACAGTTGGTAGTTAAGACATATTTTTTGCCATATAATAAATTAAACATTATTTGAGTCTGTTTGAATCCAGTATGATTGCGGTCTCCACTTGTTCGTCCCTCTTCCCCCACTTATGTTTTTCTAATATTCAAAAAATGTTTTCTCCATAAGAAATGTGTTATATAAGCTAATCAATTGAATTGCTGTGCCTAAAATTAACTCTTTAAGGCTTACGTTATGATACTAAATCTTTCCATCGAGTGATTAAGTCTCTCCATTATTGTCACTGTGTTCTTTTTTTTTTTTTTTTTTGCGACAGAACTCACTCTGTGCGGGGCTTAGAGGCGTCAGCCTAGCTCACAGCAACCTCAAACTCCTCAATCCTTCTGCCTCAGCCTCCTGAGTAGCTGGGACTACATGCAGTGTCGCCACCCATCGCCCAGCTAATTTTTCTATATATTTTTAGTTGTCCAGCTAATTTCTTTCTTTTGTAGAGATAGGATCTCACTCTTTCCTCAGGCGTGGTCTCAAACCCTCCTGAAGCTCACCAGTCGCTATACCTTGGTCCTCCCAGAGGTGCTAGGATTACAGCGCGTGGACTACCCGAGCCGCCGGCCTATTGTTGTGTTTTTTTTTGGTTTTTTTGTTTTTGTTTTTTTTTTTTTGGAGACAGAGTCTCGCCTGTGTGTCCAGGCTAGAGTGAGTGCCGCGGCGCTTTCACGTGGCGTCGACTAGCTTGCACCAGACTCAAAGGCCGCTCCGCGCCGCGATCCTTCTGCCTCAGGCTCTGAGTAAGCGGACTACAGGCATGCGCGGCACCGATGCCCGGCTAATTTTTTGTATTGTAGGTTATTATATCGTTTGCCCAATTTAAGCTTTTTCTGGGATTTATGAGTGAGGACCGCGGGTCCTCGCTTTGCTCAGGCTGGTTTTGAACTCCGTGGGACCTTGAGCAATCCGCGCCCGGCCTCGGGCCTCCCAAGAGCTAGGATAAGGGCGTGAGCCACCGCGCCCCCGCCTATTGTGTTTTTTTGTTTCTTCCTCTGATATTGTTCTCAGTTTGTGTTGACGTGGGTATATGATACGTATTAAGAATCAGTTCTTTTCTTGGGTGTGTGTTTACTATGCTGTGATTGCCACTCAGCATGGGAGTCTCTGTCATTAGCAAAGCTGTTAATTTACAATCAATATTGTATCTCGTTTAATAGCATTGTTTTGTGTCTGAAGACAGTTATAAGCGTGGCCTATTTGTTTTTTGCCAACTATAAAATGATAGTTGCAAGAATACTCTTTTCTTACTTATCCTTTTTTCTGTATTTTTGTTTGCATTTAGTAAAAATTGATGCGAAAGTTTTTTTTATATTTCTTTCATTAAATATGAAGTGTAATTGTTGGTTTGTCGGCAAATGTTCTTCTATTTGGATAAGGAGAAACTACATCCCTCTCTTATTTGTAAGAAGTTAAAGCCTTGATTACAAAAAGAACTGGTATCTTTTTGATGTAATCATTTTCATTTAAGAGTCAGCCTGGTAATATGATTATGCTTAAGGTTTTGCATTTATATTATTATATTAAAAACATCCTTAAATTCCTGAGATCAAACTCACCTTATTGATGGGTGTAATCATGTTACCTTTAAATTGATTAGTTTTCCTATCTTTGCGCATTCATATATCTATCGATTCATAAATAAAATTTCATGTTATTATTGCTGGTGATAGTGTAAGTTTCCATTTATTTGTATACTGGGCATATGGTCCAGAGTATAAGCAATTTATTCTAAGTATTCTTTGGAGTTTTTGTAAATAGATTTGTAGTGTCTTTTTTTTTTTTTTTTTTGAGGGCAGGGTCGTTGCTTTGCTTTGCCCAGGTAGGAGTTGTAGTAGTGTCATCGTAGCTCACTGCAGCCTCAAACTCATAGGCTCAAGTGATTCTCCTGCCTCAGCCTCCTGAGTAGCTGGGACTACAGGTGCACGTTAACACATACCTGGCTAATTTCTCTATTTTTTGTAGATACAGGGTCTCAGTGTGTTGCTTAGGCTTGTCTTAAACTTTTAGCTTCAAGAGATCCTCCTGTCTCAGCCTTCCAAAGTGTTAGGATTACTGCATGAGCCACTGTGCCCAGCCTATAATGTCATTTTTATTTTAAAAATAACATATCATTGTAGACTTGAATTACTCTGTTATTATTTAGGAATATTTTTCCAAAATAATTTTTTTGAAAATATAATAATATATCATTGTGGAAATTTGGAGAATACAGGAATGTATTAAGAAGGAAGTAATACTCACCTATGATGCCACTGTATAAAGATATTCATTGTTAATACTTTAGGGCATTTTTTCCAGTCTTTTTTTTTTTTTTTTTTCTTTGAAGTCATTTGGAGTGGAATTTTCCAGTCTTTTTTATGCATATATTCCCAAATACTGAGGTTATATTAGACATACAATTTTATATTAATGCTGTTTGGG